AGACGCGCGCCCATGCTGCTGCTTCTTCGTCCTTCATTTGCTTCGGAGGTGTCCGCGCGTCGACCTTTTTCTGAAAAACTACCCCCAAACGGGCGCCCCTTCGAGGCTGAAAACGGGAGACGCCCATCTTTGATACTAACAAGCTAAACCGGAAACAACAGAGAAAGAGATAGACAAAGAAGGAGACGAAGGGGCTATAAATATAACCCAAACACAATAGAGAGGCGACACAATAGAGCTCAGCAGCATCAAGTGGGCGCCGTAGATGTGAACGAACAGAGAAAACTGTGGAAGAAGCTAAGAAACTTAAGACAGAGAACTGCCTGGGAAAATCAAAAGAAAACAACGGCGAGGGCTGAGAGTTCAAAAGAGTCCAACCGAATGGGAGAAGAGAACAAAACAACCACAGCAAAAGAAAACTCTCCTGAAGACGAGTGAAGAGAGATGACGCGAGAGGTTGAGCGCTTCTCTTATCTGCATGACGAGCGCGATACTCTTGGGAACTTTTAATGAACCTAGAGGCGGGGCGAAGAGAGAGGGCAGGACGGTTTTGAGAGATCAGCGAGGAGCCTGGATTTGAATTCCGTGGCGAGCCCTTTCTTGCTTTGTTCCGGAAAGGATTGCGAAGACCCGAGCAGAATGAAGAGAAGCGAATTTCTGAGAGAGATGCCCACTAATTTAGAAAGTGGACACTCTTGGCATACCATACGGCGAGAATAAACCCGCAAGGTCTTCAGTTTGCTACCACTGAGAGGAGAGACGTGTTTTGTCCTAGTTGTGATAAAATGTCTGCCCTCTTTATAGTTTGGACAAGCTGAGGAGGAGGGTCCCCCCTCTGGGGTACCCTCCGTGAAAGCTTGTATTTATAATGTTTTCATTTTTTTCAGTTTTAAGATGAGCTCCTCTGCACTTCATAGCTCTTTGTGACATTTTTTTGGAAGAGACTTCTCGTCTTCCTCGTCCTCTTCATGAAGTTGCTTTTTTTCGTTGGAGCAGACCAAGAACTGGGAAACGGCAACAGGGCGGCGGCGTCCAAAGCCTAGCAATCTTAAGGACCACTTGGTTTTCTGTCTTAGCAGGAAAGGTCTTTTTATCCTCATATTATATATTATAGTTAGCCTAGCTAAAGTAGTCCACAGACTTAATCGAATTCTGCAGAGACAGCACTTGAGTGAAAAGATGTAGTGCGGAAAAGATTATAGTTCCCTGTCCCTGGTGTCCCTGTACTTGATTGTAGTGATATAATGATAATAGTAGTTATAGTTAGTCTCCTGCTCTTTTTCTCCTTCTTTTATCTATGCGGCTGCTGCAGCACTAGACTGCGTAAAGCGGAATTTGCCGTATTATGCAGGTAGAACGCTGGGCGCCCCTACGTCAGCACAGCTGAAGAGTTGGCACTCCAGTTGGGTCAAGGACGCGCCTGAGTGCCTGGACGTTGCAAGACGCTACGGCGACGACTTTTTTCACGGCAGCATGAGTGCTGGCGTTGCGTTTGAGACCTGGGCATACGACCTCACTCTCTGCTACGAGGCACCTCCGACGTATTTCGACACAGACGACGCTGCCTTCGCGGAGGTGGGGCGACCCGCGGAGCATTTTGAGTACTTGGAATATACAGTCGAGGACAAGCCAGACTCTTCACGCGTGATTCAATTAAGGCTGAGTTTTTTTTTTAATTTCTTAAATGAATCCCATCTGAACTATGCTGAGTAGCGACGTCCTCTTATTGAGGGCATTCCTGAAACTACGCAGGGGGGAGTATCTATCACAGGGAAACACTCCCTCCACAAGCACAACATTTTTTCAGAAGGATACAAAAGCTGAAATCGATCTATATTGGATTCAATTTCAGAAGAATAGAATCTTTCAGAAGGATCGAAGACAAGGGTTGAAAGATAATCTTTCAGAAGGATACAAGAGAATCTAATTCAATTTTCCCGTTGCGCTGCCATGTGTGACTCAGCTGCGGGTCTAGAAATTAGCCGACAAAAAGCACTTGCATCGAATTTAAGGCGAGGCATCCTATCCTATCCTATCCTATCCTATCCTATGCCACTCGAAATATAGCGGAAAAGACTTGCAGCTACTATGCAGGCGAAAAGATAGACTAAAGATAAATGTCAATTGCTATTCAGATGAGTATTGCTACTCAGATGAGTATTGCTACTCAGATGAGTATTGCTGTTCAGTAGATGAGTATTGCTATATAGATGAGTAAGTATTCAGATGAAAATTCAATATCGTTTTTTTGAATTTTTGTCCACTCTAAGAATGACTTTAGCAAGTGCGCGATATTTTTGTCGGTGCTGGGAAACGGTTCGAACCTATTTCGCAAGAAAGGATCAGTTGCAAAAGTTCACATTAAGGGTTGGGAGTTGGCCACTCATAGATGAATGCATAGATCTAATAGAACGCTGCTGGAGTCGAAATTTGTTTGTTTGTTTGTTTGTTTGTCTATGCTCATAGATGAATGCATAGTATGGACAAGTTTTCAAACAGGAAATATGTCATAGAGATGCAAGCTAGAAGGTGGGTCAACTTGCAGCTGCTAATCACAGACGCAGGAGGAGGGGGGTCGTGCACACTTACGACGACAGGAGACGCAGATGTTGAATTCGTGTACCTCTTTCTACGGATCCCGATCATGTTGCTTTTTCTCTCCTACAGACAGACTTCTTGTTTATGATTGTGTCTCACTATCAGAGCTTCTCTCTACGAGCAGTACTTCTATGAGCAGCACTAGTATCAGGAGTGACTATAATCAGGAAAAACGCATCACATACTATCAGAGATACATGAATGACATAGACGATCAAGCTGAGTCGTGGCGTGAGACGGACCTGCATGCTGTAAAACTCGCGTCCCTTACGACTAGACTTCTTGTATGTAATACTGTCTCGTCTTAGGAGATGATTAAGTTTTGGAATCGTGACAGGTGGGACACGCACATTATCATGCGACATCTGTCAGAGGATCGAGGCTGGTGTCCCTTTTCTTTCCCTTGAAAGCGTATACTCGAAGCCTTGAGGTAAGCGAGTAACAAATACAATAACCGAGTATCTGCGACTGTTATCTAGATTACTCGCTTATATATTTCAGTTTTGTTTACTAGATTACTCGCTTATTTCAGTTTTAATTATCAATCTAGAAGGCTACTCGCTTATTCAATAGGTGGTTGCTCACATTTGTACGAGACCAGCCAGTCGAATGATGTCTCTTTTCGTCTTTCTTAAAGGTACGACGTTGATCTGTGTCTACTGGAGAGGACTTTTTTCATACTTTGAAGTAGAGAACCTATGAAGAAGAGGACCTTGAAGACTGAGTCGATATGAACCTTTTTTGTCTAGAACATCCTCGTCGATGCTGATCTGTGTCCTCTAGAACAAGAGGATCTGTGTCCTCTAGAGGGGAGAAAAAGCAACCTCGCTCTGTGCTTCTTTATACTTTGTTAGGCATCCGCCGAAGCATGGGGCACCGAGCCGCGCGGACCTGGAAATCTTCGAACCTGCAACCGATTTTCAAGTGCCAGGTGAGGTGGCTCTTACAACGGAAAAAGTAAACAACCTATGTTAAGGCTTAAGACTGAAGAGTCGTGGGCTTAACTAAGAAAGCTTAAGACTGATACTGAAGAGTCGTGGGCTTAAGAAATGTGGTTCTGTAAGATGATGGTGGTTCTGTAATATGATCACCTGATATGGCATCATGATGATGATTGCATATTTTCGTGTAGTTTCTCTGTTATGTGAGGGATCCATAGCCTAAACTAACCTGTGGGTCTTGGTGCAGTAGTGTCTCTGTTCCCGTTACAGCATAGGCTTTTGGTGTTTCTACGTTTGTTTACCGTGAATACAATTGTGCCCTTATTAAGCGGCTACGGGAGATAGGCAGAACTAGCTAGTCGGGGAGCTAACAGCACCAAAAGAAGGCTTGTTGGTTTTTTTCACCAAAAGAAGGCACGAATAGCTATACGAGAGGTTTTCTCGTTTTTTCTTGCCTTTGCCGCAGCTTTTGGCGTTTTGCCCAATTTAAACTATAAGGGTAGTCCTCCTTTCCGTGGACCTCGTCTATCTTCTCTCTTGATTTTGATCGACACAGCGAGTGAGGAGGGCAAACTTAATGATGTTGTACTTGCTCAATGTTCTTGTTGGGGTCTTCGATCTCCTAAGTATTATATAATCTTGGGGCCTCTCTCTCTCTTCTTCTATTCGTTCTGCTCTATTTACTTGTAGCCTAATGTTCTTGGGGTCTCTCTCCTTCTATTTTCTTGCTCTATCTTTCTTGTAGTCGATAGCTACTCTACTTGGGGTCTCTCTTCGTCCTGCTCTATCCTGTAGTCTACGAAGGCTATGGTTTTTCATGCATCCTCCTCTATCTTGTAGTCTATAGCAATGGCCCCTCATCGGACCGCTTCAGGTTTTGTTTCATCTCGCTGATGTTTGAGAGCAATCAGTTGAGATAGCTATGGTCCCTCTTACAAACGGACAAGGTGATTGACGTTCAGTCAATCAGCTTGTCCGTTTGAGATCTCCTCTTCGTCCTGCTCTATCTCGAACAACTAGGACAGCTTCAACCTCACTTTCATCTTCTAGTCTCTGTCTCTTATAACTAAACTTGGTATCATCCTCTAACTACGGTCGACGCCTCTGCTAACCGGAGCAGACATGGCGCCTGGTGGAGATGTGAGGGCTAACGGCATGGACGGCGATTATCTGGCCACAATGGGCGTGAATGGGGGACAAGGTGCTTACGTCCAGTTAGACCTGAGAGCTTTATGGCCTTTTTTTTTTACCCTAATGCATAGAATACTTTGACGTTCCCCTAATGCATAGACTAAGGCCTAAACCCTAGTGCATAAGCCTTGCATATACCTTGACTGCTGATAGCTTTAAAAAGACCTTGACGTTCTACTAAGACTACATTGACCACCTCACAAAAAGACAGACATATACTACATTGACTACCTTGACGCAGTTCCCCTAATGCATACACTACATTGACTACCTTGAGGACGCTCCTCTTCCGATTCATCCTTTTGAGACCAAGCGTCTTTGTGCCCTTTGTCAACAGGGGATTCTCAGACTTCGTTTCCCTAATGCATTATCTTGGGACGCGTCTTTGTGTCCTTTGTCAAGAGTCTCTTAATGCATGATGATGATCTTGAGACGCGTCCTTTTAGTTTCTTGATTCCTTTAGTTTCTTGGTAATTTATTGTCAAAAATGTTCTGTTTTTTTACCAAGTTGAAGTCTCGGTTTTGAGAGATCCATGTTTTTGTTAGAGAAGATACAAAGCACTTCAAGAACATTATTGTTCCCTTATGTATAGTCCATAGATCAAGAAGAAGTACTTGATTGATCATTATTGCATCTTCTTCTTTTTCTACTTAGGGCAGCTCCACGGGTCGTGGAATAGATGAAAATGGTGTTTTGTAAGACTACATTATAGAAGATGAAAACTACACAGAAGATGAAAACTACATAGATGAAATCTACATAGATGAAAACCACATAGATGAAATCTATTTCTGAGGTCTATTGCAATCTATTTGTGAGCCGGTCTTGCTCTTGCTCTAACTACATTGCCGCTGAAGTTGCGCGCACATGCTCGCTGCACTTTGACGGACGGAAGCAATTACACTCAGAATACCCTTGGCCTTTGCCAAACTATGATTCTGTCTATGGTCTCCGCTGATGGGGTAAATACATTTCCGCCGCTCTTCAACTACTATGGATCATGTTCATCTTGTTTTATCCGAACCTTTTTGCATCTAGGTGTATCTGACCATCGACACTTTCCTCTCCTTGTTTGTCCCTTTAAGGGTGGAAAAAAGTTAGATGGTCTCCTGGCTAGGGGGTTGTAGACGCCGTGAAGATGGTCTGCTGTCTAGATGTAAAAAAGAGCTTTTTATACCTACGGGAAAGCGGGCACAGCAGCGGAGGGCAAGTGCGAGCGTATCACAACACTCACTGGCTGTTCGAGTGCGGTGGTGCGCGACCCTGATTTTGATTAAGGCCCTCGATATGGAATCATCGAAGTCTTGAAATATGCAAGTAAATTCGAGGATAGTAATACTTTACTCGGTTATCTCAGTTTTTGTTCGAATAACCTGTTTGCGTTTATTGGTTTTTTTGCGCCCTAGTAATTTGTGTGGAAATTCGAATTGATAGCTAAAGCTGATCGTTTTGACTGGTAACTAAGTGAACAGGCCAACAGCTGACTCAGCCTAAAAAATGACCCCAGACCAGCGCCTAAACCACTAAGGGAGTTATAAAGACCAATTGCTTTGTTTTCCTCATGTGTAATAGATCCTAGGTGTAGGAGGTTAGTCCTTCCAAATACTTACAATGTTTAACAAAGAGCTCTCACCAGGTGACCTTCAAGGTAGGACATAGTTCAAGGAATAGAGGTGACCTCTAATAGCTCTTGTCTTCTTCAAGGTTGGATAGCTCTATTGAGGTGACCCGTAATAGGGTAGTTCCTCCTTCCAATGTCTTAGGTATAATATTAGGATAGTTCCTCCATGTCCATCCAGTGTTTATGCAGTTCCTCAAGATTCACAACCACCTTTCCATCTCGTACTAAGGTATAGCACTACTCAGAAGAAGCAGGATCTTGATGTCATAAGACGTTATAGTTTATGACATCGTCCCACCTGCAAGCCACTCCTAACCATACTAGGTAGCTTCTCTGGCCAGTTGTTGAAGTCCTCTAATCTGTTTTATACGAAGGAACACCTGACGGCGAGAAAGTGTCGGTTACTATGGCCTCCCCGAGGGCTACAATTGGTACTAATGGGAATAGTGGCTGGTGGAAAAGTGACGGAAGCTGGCTTGCTTGGCTGTGGTCCCGAAATTTGTAGGGCGCCAACCCGATGCTTCTCACTTCCTAAACCCTCTGTTTAGCCCTAAGCCCTATGCTTCTCATTTGATTTTATACCCCAAGCCCTATATTTAAAGCCTATTCTTAGCCCTAAATCCTGTGCTTCTCATTCGATTTTCTTCTCATTCTGCTAGGTAGAGATACAAGAAGATTGAAAGGCCTTATGACCCCTTCATGTAGATTTGGCCGGTTTCTCGCTCAATCTAATTAAATGCTCCGGTCGTGTAGACAGTAGGACAAAATAAAAAGTTCAGGACCAAAGGCGACATGACATGACATGACTTTCCCCTGCTTCCTAGCGGCCGACCATCTATTATTCGTAGTGTTTGCCCCCCGTTGGTTTCTCCTTGAAAATGTAGAGAGAGATGAAGTACAACACTACTAACCCCCGCACTTGAGGTATAGTTGTAGAAGAGGAGCTAGTACCCTCTGATAGAAGGTAACTACTATGATAAGTGAAACTTTAAGTTTATTTTTAAGTAGAGTCTACCTCTAAAGTTGGATGCGGGATTACAAATACACTTGGTCGCAGGATCATCCATTATACAACGTTAAGGCTCAAAGCAATTCACTTCCAAGGGTCATTTTGCTCTGTCGGACGAAATTAACCGAAGAAATGAATTGCTTTGCGCTCCAATGTCGGGATGGACTTGTCGACAAGCGATACGTCTTGTGCGCTCAGTGGATATCATTCGAGTAACTGCCAAGCAAACACCTGGTGCTATGGCCAACTAACTCCATCAGGACTACAGTTATAGATGTGTTAAGTTGGTGTAGTTTGTACACTCTCGCACTTCTACAGATAAAAAGTAGAAGCACCTACACCCTTAGTGGTACTGAGTATGAGTAGATGGCTTTTCCACTCGTTTCTCTTCCTACTAGCTGTGATACGGGGGCTCTAGCTCCGCATTGATTTTTTAGGGATCGTTTAGTGGCATCAGCGATCGATGTCGAGGGGCCCTATCCAATCCTACCCAACCCTATCCCCAACCCTATCCCCAACCCTATCCCCTACCTTATCCCCTACCCTATCCCCTACCTTATCCCCTACCCTATCCCCTACCCTATCCGCTAACCTATCCCCTACTCTATCCCCTACCCTATCCCCTACCCTATCCCCTACCCTATCCCCTACCCTATCCCCTACCCTATCCCCTACCCTATCCCCTACCTTATCCCCTACCCTATCCTCTACCTTATCCCCTACCCCATCCCCTACCCTATCCAGGAGCACTGTGTCTCTTTGGTAGAGCGTGGTGGCTGTTGTTCCTAGTCAAATGGCTACTTCCCTAGCGCTCTTACTGAATAGGTGGCTCCTTAGATACTTTCGCATAACTAAGCGAAAGCTACAACATGGAGCGAGCGCATGAAATGCCATTAACCAAGCCACAGCGTGGACCGATGGGGGGACCAAGATGAGAACACTACAAGGGAAACCACAACAGGGGAAAAGGTGCTAACCTATCGAGATGACTGAAAGAGGGGGCGCTAAGAAGATGAGGGGGCTGAGTCCGTCGCCATCTGAGATGAATAGTGGCCGACTCCATCTAAGCGTCCTGGAATCAGTATAGCTGACTCTTCGCCACGCTAAAAAGATTAATCTCTAAAAGTAATCTGCACTCACACCTACACCCACACTACACACACAACTTTTCTTATCTCTATTGTCTTTCATCTAATTAAGTATCCTCTGAATATCTCATCGATTTTGTTATAACCTCTACACCCCCAGCACACACATAACTTCGCTAGCCATCTACTCGAAAACTGCAAGTAAGCGAGTTACTGACTGAAATATAGCAGGAGGTAGCTTTAGAGGGCCACCCTTCCTTCTCATCAGTTACTCGCTTATTCTCATCAGCTACTTGCTTCCTTTCTTACTAGCCTAGCCGCGTTGGCAGCCAGGTCGCCAGTCATTCTTTCTAGCCGTGGCGAGCGGGCTTGGCGACTTTGCTCGTTCGTCTTACTTGTCTAGTTGCTAGCCTATGCCCAGCGCAGCGGGCCCTTGATGGGCCCGCCTTCTGGGCATGCATCCATATCTTCTAATCTTGTGAAAGGTTACAGCTTGCTGGTGCGTCGCCTCGTTTTCGGCCTGCAGAGGAGAGTAACGACTGGATCCGCCAGCACTACAAGCTCGACATCTTTTGCCACCATGCTTAAGGGTCTCCCTAATCTTAAGGCTCTCACTAATTCATCTTTCAAGTGCATCCTTGAAACGTATGAGGGAGTATCTACTGTAGGGAAGTGCTCTCTTATACCATTCAACGATGCAACTGAAAGGTGAACACTAGTGGATAGCTCTAATAATCCATCTCCAGGTCAGAAGCATCTCAGCAAAGCTGCTTCCCAGAAGAACTCTGCCAAAGGTCCTGTTGTCCCGTGTGGAAGGGGAAAACTACAGGGAAAAACTACTTCGAGATGACTCGCCCCAAGAGGTCGGATTCGGGTGAGTTCTAACATACGCTACGCGAAAAACATGACTTTATTCGGTTCGCAGGAAAAAACGGGTCGCCGTTGTTTTTCTTAAGGCTGAGGCCAATACATAATGCGTTCGTCTTCCTTACAATAGGTACGACAGTGTCGCCCCAATTGTCTTTGTCACCAACAGCAGTGGCTGATCGTAATAGATATAGTTCGTGCTGTCCAATTCTTGTGAGCATAAGGGTGAGCTCCATGCATCTGCAGAGTGTAATCCGATGGATTTTGTTTCTCAAGCTTTTTTTTTATGAGGTGCGGTCGTGTTCACTATCAGATTCTGCGGGCACTAGAGACGGGCACTAGGGTCGGCGCTATCAGGGATACACACATACAGACATGACGTGTCTAACTTTCACCGAGCTAGTGTTTCGAGCTTACTCCCTGAGACAGTGGAAGGACCAAGGTTTGAGGTTTTCCGTTGTTTTCCCGAACGAACTTGGCGAGCCCCAGACGAGAAAAATTCACGTTAAGGCTTCTTACAATTTGAATCCCCCATCTGTTAGTGTCAGCTGCCCATCTACTGTGAGCTGCCCACCTGAATCTGTGAGCTGCCCATCTACTGTGAGCTGTTTTCAAGGACATCAGAGACGAGTGAGCTGTTCTCAAGAAGGAAAATCCAACATTTAGATGAGGCGGAAAAGGTCGCATAGTCCAGGTGCTGGCATGCTAGCCAGTGTTAGGCTTCATGGAGTGGAAAGATGTAAATCCATTGTAGTTCGTAGTTCTAATCACGGCTTCCGAATGCACGCGGCTCCTTATTCCGACTGGCTAAAGTTTGTACAGGTCTACATTGGAGACACATACCTAGGCAACTTAAATTAAGGCAAACTACTTACATGTTGAATAATAGATTTAGATACTATTAAGGGGCAACCTACATGTTGAATAATATTAAGGCAACCTCCTGCATAGTACTAGCTAGTGTTAAGATACTCGTCTTGTTCTTCTAGTAGGAGAAAAGGGGTAGCAGGGGACTGATTTTCTGAAGAATGCGAAAAATAACGGATGCTGGTGTTCTGGGCAAGAGCACTGTAATTAAAACTACCGCTGGAGCATCGTCAGCATCGTCCTTGGCCCCTTTTTCAAGGGGCAATGGGGCTGCTCGGGGATGCTTCCAGGGATGCTCCATTTTCAATGGGGCTCTTCTGTTTCTAGTACGTAGGAAACGGACACCATCATATTAAATAGTATTTTTGAATGAAGCTGCAAGATGATGTAGTTCTGAATTATACAGAATAATAAGTCTAATTCCATCCTGCGGAGGAGCGGGGCTTTCTTGCCATTCCTGGCGTCGACTTGCGTGCGTTGTATCGACCACCTTATACGCTGGAGTTAAGGCACCTGTAGTCCCCGCGGACCTGCTTCTTCACCTTCTAGACCGCTCTGTTGATACACCTGTAGTCCCCGCGGACCTGCTTCTTCACCTTCTAGACCGCTCTGTTGATACACCTCTTAGAGCGTAGGCATATGATGAACAAGACTACCGAGGATATTTAGCTCTTGGTCACACTGCCAGCTCGCCTTTCTGGACGTGAGAAGCTGAGCAGTCTCGCTCTCGTCGTGACAAACATCAAGAATCACAACATTAATAACATGAATAAACCTCGTTATCCTTCTTGTCCATAAGATGAAGGTGTCGGTCCTCCTGCATAATAAAATGACATAATATATAACTATGATATGTAAGATAACATTTTTAACTAAGTATCTAAGGATCACAAGATAATAACTATGGTGGATAAAAAGGATACGATCATACGGCTCTGCTCAAGAAAGAGGCGACGATCATATGGCTCTCTAATAGCGGTACGCCTGGCAGAGCCGATCGATGCTAAGAGCATATCTTTCAGCGGAAACCCCAACCCCTTCGTGTACGAGTACACGTATCCAGCGAGTCTGAGAACGGACGATGTTAAGGCTTGTACCCTAATGTTAAAGGGGAACAGTCGTCGTGGTCGCTAATGCTGAACGCAAGAGACTACTTTCATCAAAGCTCTCTTCTTTTCCCTTCGTTTCTTTCCCCTGTTGGTTCTCTCAAGGGGTCGCCTCTTCCATCTCCTTGTCCTAATGATGCACCCCTTTTCTTAATGATCCTTACCCTAATGACCCATCTCCTTTTCCTCTCGCCCAGAAGCATCTTACTTAGGGATGTAGAAGCTATCAAAAATCCATCTTCAGAAGCACCTAATAGGTAGGGATGTCGATGTTTTAGTGCCATAAGGAAGGTTCAAGGGACTTTTTAGTGCCATAAGGAAGGTGGTTAAAGGGAAAAACATTTATTTATTTACTCAAGATCCAAAACGTGTTACAGTTAGTTTGAGGATGTTTCAAGGTAGTAGGGGAAAATTAACAGATCCGAGATGACTTCGTTCCGTGAGGGGGCGAGGGTCTCAGGATGGAAAATATACAGATCCGAGATGAGTTTCAGAAAACAGGCCCGATCCCGAGACGAGAGGGTCTCAAAATGGGAGCCATTCATTAGGCTATGTTGGGGCTATCTTCTAATACTGTAACCAAGGTCAGATATTGGAAGCACAGTTGGCCAACCCAAGTGCTAAGCCATGGTCTTCGCGCGGATTTTGGACCTGCTTGTCATACTCCATCAGACAGCACCTGGCAGCCACACGTAGCCGATTTCCTCCCGACGGCGCAAAGCTGCGTGCAAAAAGCTGGACAACTTGGAGGCATGGTCTTCGAAGTCTGGCCACGAACTGCGTTTCATGGCTTCGATCCTGTTAAGGCTTCTCCCAATCCATCCATCTCTATAGCTTGTATCCCTCAACCATTATACCATAAATGCACTAGGGGAGAGCCAGCTCTAATCCTGCCTCCACCCGTCACGATTTAACAGGAGCTGCCTGCTGTAGCGTCTACAAGTTCGCCGTCCTTGGTTCTGGGACTCCGACAAACAGCGGGATCATGTACACTATTGTGAACGAAGAAGGCCGAGTGACATTACGAGGCTTGGAAGTGTTTTACGATCCGAATCCGCTTGAAGAGTTTGCGTTGGATGCGAACCACGAAGGACGCTTTTATGGATGTTGTTTTTTTCTCTCCTCCCTCAGCACCATGATTCTTGGCCTCCGTTGTAGTTGGTGTTTCAGTTTCAGTACTTGATGTTGTATTTATTTATACTTTATAGTTCGACCTGAACAAACTGCGAGTGTCTTGGCTTCGGCCTCGCTCACTTTCAGAGCCAGTCTCTGTGGGTGCTGCGGACAGCACTATCAGAGACGCGCATATGGCATTAGTTCTTGGATAATAATAAAAGGTCACAGGGATCGTGGGCTCAGGAACTGTTTTTAAGGGGAAAGCGGTAGCCTCGATCCTCTGGCTCTAGTGGGGAGAAAAAACAAGATTCATAGGGTTGTGAAGAGCTCTGGCGACTACTTCCTGGCGGCTTTAAGGTCAGCTTTTAGTTTTATCCCTCCGGCACCTCGGTACCCTTTCGCTGCTCCCTTTTTCTTGTGCTTCATGGGAACAAGCAAAGGGGACATCGAGATAAGGGAAAAATAGCGAGATCATGAAAAGAAGCAGGTTACAGATTGTTCTAAAGAAAGAGAGTGGGGGTTTGCAAGTTGATAATAAAAGGTGGGAAAGCTTCACCGGTACGGAATTGAGCCCATGGGTTATGTTTGTGCTTCCCGAGCGGCGAAGAGTATCCAGGGTCGAACTTTATACTAAAAACAGTTGCGACAAGCGCCTTTTTGATCACGACTCCGGATGCGATTTTATTATGGCCGACGCTACTACTCACATCTTAAGATGGTATTTATAGGCAGTCATAAAAAAGTATAATTTCACCTACGATCCGACGAGCGAGATGAAAGTAAAGTGGTCTAGTTTCACCATCGATCCGATATGAGTGATAATTGTTCCTACGATCCGATATGAAGTGAAGGAGTCTAATTTTACCTACGATCCGACGATCGAAATGACCTCGGGCCTCCGTGTCGGCGTATCGAATCGACCATGCGTTGGAGGCTCTCAAGGATTCGGCTGCTATGCGTACAGCTACGAAGAGCAGACGGGCTTCGTGCGAGATCTTGATGCGTATTCGATACGTGGCTAAGGCTAGTACCGCTCAAGCATGTTGTCTCCTTATAACACCATCAAAGTCCTTGATTCTTCTTTTTCTATAGTTCTTGAAAAAGAAGAGCCACGACCTGCTTCTAAGGGTAATAGTAATTATTATTGCAACTCTCACAACTTTACTCTCACACATGATTTGAGTCCTTTACACAAGAACTTTACTCCATAGAGATACAACTGACTTTGAAGAGCAGTCGTCCCCGGCACACCTCATTGTTTATACTCTACTACTCAATGGGGAGCATCTGCATCAAGATGCTAACGCGGCCACAGAAGCTCTAATTTGGGGCCCCACAGACGCTCTCAAAGAGCAACCCGAATTATTTTGGTATCCAGCCTTGCAGAGTTGCTGGGACTCAGAACGAGATGATTAGTTACGCAGACTATGCTACTGCGAAAACTAACCAGCTATCGGGCCAGGTGCTGTTGGAAGCGCACTGTGCTGGTGCAGAGGGGCGATTCCTCTTTATAGAGTGGGCACCGATGCAGCAACTGTCCAATCCACATCGGGAGAAATTTGATCATAGAATGCGTCGCGCGAACGCTCTCTCCCAAGTCAAAGTCTACACGTACTTAAGGATTTAAGTTGTATATATAAGTAAATATTTCATTTCTACGACTCATATCTTGCGCTTTCCTTATTCAGATTGCGAAGAAATGAAGGGAAGCAGGAACAGGGAGTGGAGTGCTTTGTTGCGCTTATCTAACGTACGCCGGAGAAACCGGCGGCGAGGGGCTCACAGCCACCACTTCGTACCCGTTGCGCAACGTGAATGCTGGGCTATCGGTAACGCATCCGTCGTATCAGAGGACTACAACTTAAGAGTCGTGTTGTATATAGAAGATGCTCTTGGTGGAAAATCTTCTGTTACACTTATTCTTTCCTGCTCTCTTTTTATGGGTCATTCGTCTGCTGTCGTTGGTTTTGCCTCGCTTAAGGGAGAGACATGGAGGAGCAGACTAAACTTAAACGGGACAGCACACTAACTACGTCACTAGCTAACTAACGAAGTTAACTAACTAAGTAACAGCAAAACTAAAGCCCTATGCCCCATCTAATCAACGTGCGCCAAAGCTTGCCCCTGTGGAGCTGAATTGCATAGCGCGTGCACGGGTGCCTCTACCACAGTGGACGGCGGTCTCAGTTTAAGGCTTACTCTAATCCATCTTCTGAAGCATCTTGGTAGAGACGTTTTCATGGGGGAAATGGTCTCAGGGTGGACTTCGGGATGGATTAGGGTGAACTCTAACCGGTGCGGACTTGATGCACACCTTGCAAAATGTTCAAAATCCCGCGGTGGCAGAGAAAGGACATCTCTCCCTCTCCCCCGACATGCCACTCTTAAGGCTACCACGCCTGAAGCATGTGCTCTCCTTACTTGTATCATGGTGAGAGACCCTTAGTTGTATCATGATGGGATATCCTTGGAGGTGCTTGTTTTCGATCATGATCCTTAATTGTATCATGATGAGATGTCCTTGGAGTTGGAGGTTCTTCTTTTTGATGATCCTTAGTATCCACGTGATTGATGATCGACGTTGTAGGTTCTTCTTTCTCTTCTATACAGTCGTGAAAAAGCCGCTGAAGCATGCATTCTCACAGACCATGATCTTGGAGGTCCCTCTTTTTGTATAGTTGTGAAAATGCAGTCAAGGTGTATCATGCGCGGAGCATGCGACGATAACAAGGCACAGCTCTAGCTCCTAAGTTCGCCTCTGTTTCTCCCGCTGCATCTGCAGCTTCTGCCGGCAGTCCCGCTGCTGTCAACGACTGCGGACATGGGGTTTCAGGCGCATTTCTGTACCGATGGCGTCTTGGCAACACGATGCGCGACGGAAGTTCAGCTGCCACAGCGTGGCACGTATTACATTTACGGCTTAAATAGTACTTTTGTGGAATTTTACTCATCTCAAGAAACGTGGGACAGTGAATTAAGACTTAAATGATAATTTTTTGCACTTTTACTCAATTAGCTAGTTTTATAGTTTTATGGTAAATGCCTTGAATGTGCCAAACCTGACAAAGGCAAGATAGAGGTCTATTTCAGATTCTTCACGTTTGTGCACGATCAACGCAGGCACTAAAGTGCCTTCTTCTGCCTGTACAAGGGCGGGCTAGTGGTTTATATGAATGACATTTTCCGGCTAGTTGTTTTCTTGTATCTATCCTAGGTTACTAGCCCCTCCACTCCGTATTTAGATAAAATATAATAAATTTTGCTCGTCTTAAGAAGCACCATCGGGCGCCTTTTGTTGGGACTCTCCTGCTTTCGCCTAGCTCGTCGCTGTGCTTCCGACTCCGCCTGTGGGCCGTCTGTAGGTCTGTGGATAGCCGTCCCGCCTTTCCTTCTCCTACCTAATAATGATAATCCTGAGGAACATACTGGCCCTGGCCTCATAGTCTTGTCTATGGCCTTTTCCTAGTTAGGTTGGCTCCGTCACTATCATTAGACTACACAGGATTATGTTCCTCTAATAGACGCACGCACTCCTGTCTGGGCAAAAAGAAATGTTTGGCAATGCTTGGCTCCAGCTGGATCTAGGGGAACCGGACACAGAGGTCTCCGCTGTCGTGATCTTTAAGGCTTTAATTGTTAACTGAGTCTATGACGACTGGCTATTTATTAACTGAGTCTCCGCTGTAGTGATGTTATATGCAGAACGATAGGCGAGGGCGCTACGATAGGAAGAAACCTGCGAAGCCAACCTTTTCTGAACCAATAGACAGGAGTAAGCTACGGCGAAAATTAGGGGAGCGGCAGGGCATATAAAGCGAATAGAATTCAAGAGCAAAAGAAGAGCACAACCCCCGAGGAGTGTTCATACCTAAACCGAGGGGGGGCGACCGATAAACGAGACAGAGCTGCCGGCCGCGCGGCCTTTCTCCGCAATGGAAACACAAAGAGAGAGAAACGCGCGAGAAACAAACGAAGCGGGCAGCGAAATCACAGAGACCAAGACAGACACCCGAGAGGAGCCGAGCGGAGCTTGTCAACAACAGAGCGCGAGGGTGCCGGGGCTTCTGCGGTTCTCAGCACGCTGGTCCGTTTTTATGTTTGGCCGGCGGGCATCTGAAGGGTGAAGTGCTGGGAGCAACCCCAAAGAAACTGAACAAGAACACAGCCGACGCTGGGCAAGGTCACCCGGAGAGCCCTTTGCGGGCGTCTGTACCGCGAAACAAAAGGGGCACACGAATAAACCTGGAGAAGCACACAGCCGAAGCAAGACACAAGCGGCGAGCGCAAGTCTGCTTTTTTTTTTCTGTAATGCTTCAAGCCTCTAGGGGGCGGGGGGGAGAGGGGGCGCACCAATTTAGCTGGAGCCAATCCACCCAGTGGACAAGCGAGGCAGACCACAATACCGCAAGACAAAGGCCGAAGGCGAACGAACTGCACGGAGCAACCAGCCCAAGGAGGTGGCGCGGAACACCGAAGACATAAGGCGCGGGCGAACACATGCGCGGGCGCCTTGTCTTCATCTGCAGCCAGGCCCCCAAGCGCCACAGACCTGCACAAAGCCAGACGCAACACAAGAGCCAGGCCAACAAGCAACGAGCCACGCCGCGGCGTACGCCTGTCGCCGATCCATCTTGTTCTTGCCACCTGCAGCTGATGGAGGCCAGAGGGAGCGCGCGGCCGAGAGTGCGTGGCGCGCGCGCCAAACAACTTGCGAAGCCAAGCTGTGGGGGTGATGTCCGCGCCTTTTATGATTCGGGGCCATTGGCTTCATAAGTTTCGCCTGAAACCGACTGCAGAACGATAGACGAGGACACGACCTAGGGGACGTTTCTCGGCATGGGAATAAACACCCCGAACAGGAGGGCACGCGCATGACTTTCACAACCCGGGGCGGCGTTGGTTCTTGCCGCTGTGTTTCTCTGTATCTTCGGGGGTGCTCGGTGTCAGTTGAGGAATATTCACCCCTCAAAACGGTGCAGGATGTTCATTTTTATCGTGTTAGGCTCTAGAATTCTGCATATATTGCCAAGTTGGTGCTGTGTGACTGATCTGGGCCCTTAGTGTCTTTACCTTGAAAAGTGGAAAGTGGGGAGCATCTCCCTCGCTGAAAAGCGCAATCAAGTCCCGGGGAGTTTTACTTAGAAATGCTCTCATTTAGATTTGGTTAGGAAGGTGGAGAAAAAGACTTCAAAAGACCTACAAAGATCTGCTTCTATATGTAGTAGTATCAAAAACCTCTTCCACTTTCAACTTTTTCAAGTAGAAAAGTTTGAGAGTGAAAGAGGGCTCCGTAGTGTATATGATAGTAATACTTCTAGAAATAATTCTTAGGTTTTTGCTTTTTCTACTTAGGTGCCCCACCAGTATATGGTATATTTTCCAGGGGCCAGGGGCCAAGGCCCCCCCGATCTAGGGAGGCGAGGGGTGGGCCCCCCGCCCCTGGGCCTTTTTTCCGAGGGACTGCAGGGCGGGAAGGCCTCCAAAAGCCCACCGCGGTCCCCTTCTGGCTTCCTGCGTGTACTCTGCAGAACGCCAGAAGGCCCAAGACTTCCCCAAGCAGGGAAGGCCGGGGCACGACGGGAGGCAGGAAGGCCGCCAGAAGCTTCCCGCCACCCCCTTCCAGCTCCTTGCATGTACAAGACAGAGCCCTAGTCCCTCCGGCGTTTCCATTCAGAGAATTCCAGGGGTGGAAGGCCTCCGCAGGCAGCGAAAGGGGGAAGGCTTGACCCCTTGTCACGTTGCCTGACAGACCTCCCGGCCGCCCGTCTCTCGATGGAGGATTTTCGGGGGGGTAAAAGTCCGCCGAGGACAGCCGGCGGCCAAGGTTCTTTGACCTCCTCCGCCGTGCTGCATGTGTCGGACAGAACCTCGCCGGCCACACATTGCCCCCACCCCGCTGCGCCCTTGGTTCTCTGACTCCCCCCGCGACCGTGGCCGCCTACGGCGGCCTCTTATTGCCGGAGATCTTGCTTCCCCGGCCGTGATAGTGCGCAGGAGCGGGGATTTCTGCGGGGTACGTACATGCGGAGAGCCCCGGGTCGCTTTAGCGGAGGACTGCTTGGCAGGAAAACCTCCTGGGGGAGGCCTCCACCCCTGGAGCGTATATAATAATGCTTCTACTTCCGGAAGGGGTCGATGTGGAGGGCCCTTAACTTAATCTAAACTAACATCTACTGCGACTGTTTAGGCTTCTTGGAGGGTTGATTTAGAGGGTCATTAATTACATTCTAAGATCAAAGCCTAACGACTGTAACCGACTTACTTCATCTAATACCTACTACGACTGTGCTTCGCTTTTGTTCACCTCAATGCACGCGCACAACTTGCGCACCTTCGCAGACGGGGTTGAGGGCTCCTTGATGCTCCCTTGCGACACGAGCGACGAATGGCAAGATATGACAGGAAAAAGTGCACTCATGCTCAAGAAAAGAGGCTTAATACATTTTGGCGACAGGAAAAAGAGGCTGACAGGAAAAAGAGGCTTACATTTAAGCGCACCTCTTCTCCCATGCGTATGGAAAGGGACATACACAAGACACTTGCTTAGAAAGTGCCTACTTATTTCTTGAGGATGAGTACACTTTTTCTTTTTCGCTTCATACAAGGGACCCAGCCTCTGAATGTGGGCGTTTCCAACAGTGTCTGTCTATCAAGGTATTATGGTTGCGCTTTTCGAGACGGTGTCACAGGCGAGCCGAATCCAGTCTTTTCCGAAGAAGCAGGCAAAGTTAAGTGCCTCTTCCGTGGGTCTTCTCAGAAAATTTTTTTTCTTTGGATGAGGAGTGATCTTTTCTAAGAGAGAGACGTCTTCTAATAAAGCACGAAACGTGACGTGGACGAAGAATGCTGATAAGAAGTGCGGAAGCGACAGCGTCACTCTAGACAATTACAGGTTGTGTGATCAAAACCATCCAGACAAAGCGGTGCACGATACGTACAACATTTTGTTCGACTCCGCGGTGGGAGGTGGATTTGCTGCACTTTTGTGCGACGTAGCGAACAAGCAGATGGCGGATATCAACTGGGGTTTCCGAATTTGTGCAGCGTTACCGCTTTCTTTGTGTGCCGCTGTAGAGTTAAGATAGTTGGTTCCATTTACATTTAGCATGATAGAAGGTTAAGATCGGTTCCATAGAAGTTGGTACCATTTAGAAGGTGTTGCTTCGTCTTGCCGATGGTAAAGAACGAGCATAAAGATAGAGAAACGGTCTCAAGACGACCATGATACAACAGAACGTCTAATAAAGATGGAGAAGCGGTCTGAAGACGGGCTGTATGGGTTCACCTTTTGGGGTGGCGGAATGACGGACACGCGCACGCACACAGACACCAATACCTTTGATTGCTACACGAAGAATGTGGCGCAAACATCGGGGGATCCTATTCCTGTCGCGAAAGGTACAGAGTGCATGTCTCGCATTCTGGACGGCGACGATCCCGGTCTACAGGCTGCCGATTCCGGTCCCGCGACCCAGCAGAGGCTCCTTGTAACCTGTCCCAGCTCCACAAGGGGGCGCTTTGTGTATTTGGAGATGCCAAACATGGGCAGGGACATGCACGTGAGACAGCTGCGACTAAGGGAAGTAGAGGTGTACGGGCCGCCACGGTGTCCAGTATGTGCGGCATGCTCTGAAGTGCCACCCGTTTCTGTTGACCATCAGCATGCAGCGTTTATTGCCGTGTGGGAATTGAGGCCGATGACGCGCTTCGACAAGGTGCACAATTTCACTGCTACTGTTAAGGCTGCTGCGGCTCAAGCATGTCCTTAACACCATCCATCCTTGGCCACCTCTTTTTCAGGGGGATGAAAAAGGGTTCGAGGATCCGCTCAGGGAGGTTGCGGCGCGGCAGCTCTAATACTGGCCGCAGGCGCGGAGACGAGTTCGATGAGGAGAGTATTCTCTTTCACCAAGATTTGTCGCCAACAGTTAAGGCCCTCTGCCTCGGTGAGTCATCTTCCATGATTCAACTTCCCTGTGATTGTGCGCTTCTATTGAAATTCCACATGTAGTACACTTCTTTGTACTCAACTTCTATTGTAGTTTGCTTCTTTGTTCATTCCACGACAACTATGATGAATGCAACATGAAAGATGAGTTGAATGTTTTTGCGACCCACCTCTAACCACGGTCGCCCATTAGCAGGTCCGATTTTCGGAATGAGAGTGGAGCTGGATTGGCACGATCAAATGTGGGGTATGCACAGGAAAGGTGCTATTGCCATTCGTGTGCGACGTGCAGTCGGCAAGTACACTTACGTTCGACCGACCTGTGCCTTAATTTAAGGCTTGGAAGTTGACCTCGTATCGTCTGAAAGCATATCTATCTGTATGACCTCCTTCTCAAGTACGAAAGTCATAGATATGCGACTTAGGCCGGTCAACTTGCAACCCCTAACCAGTTGCGTCGCAGGTGGTTGGCCATGCACCGAAACGACGCACAAGAGAAACATTCGAGTTCGATGAAAATTAGGAACAATATATATCATAAAAAGACTACTGCTCCTAAGATTTTGACGCACTTGTTCAATATTGTATTAAGGCTTTTGTTTTTAGAGAGCAGGAATCATGTTCACACACTCAACATTCTTCGAAACTGGACTCCTCATATAGGATTCTGGGAGAATCAAAATGAGTTCTTCTCCTTCTACGAGTGTGAAAGACCACATTCTATCCTCCCACTTCTCCTTCTAAGAGTGTGACGAAATAGTAAAGCACGCGCAAGCAGGTGATGTGATCGTAGTAAACACCAAGGTCGGTGGTGGGGGAGGCCACGAATTGGTCTTTTTTAAACTGCGGATATCCGTTCGCTATCGTCTACCACCTACAATTATGGTAACAGAATATAGGTCTTCAATCATGTTAAGTGATTGAGAACCGTTGCTCGTATTGTTCATCTCTCTCTTCAGCATCTCGATACCCCTCCCCGTTGTAAGTAAGTAGTTGTTTTTATCCATTCTTCTCTTTCTCAGCATCTCGATACCCTTTGTTTTGCCGTGAAGTATACATAGGGGAGATAACACGCTAATACAAGGCGCATCTTGGACGTTGTGGGACCAAATGGAGAGCTTTTTGATGCGGATGAAATTGATGAAAACTACAACCCGATCCCGAACTGGAACGCCACACACTTTCCTAATGTTATGGCTTAGCTTCAAGATTAGTACAACTTGGAGTCGAAAAAGCCAAGTTAGGATGCGGTGAAGGAAGGCAAGTTAAGATACCAAAATTCGTGCATGAGTGCATGATGTATTCAGCGTTTTCTAAGAACAGCACCCCAACGCCGCCACGTGTCGGCAGCAACACTAGAAGGGCACTGCGTTCGTCGGCGTATACGTATGACGAAGACGAGAGCGAGGATGCTAGAAAAAGGAGGCTTCGAACCGTGCCGAAAGGTGTGAAGATGTGGAAAACCAAGAGCAAAAAGCGCGCCAGAGAGGAGAAGGCAAAACGGATAGCCGAAATCAAGAAGGAACGGAAGAAGGGTAGGAGAAGAGCCCGCCTACTCGAGGCAAAACAAAGTTAAGCAAAACTCAAAGCTTAAATCAAGAAACCCGTAGAAAGTGCTGGTAATTTGTCTTGCGCAGTGTAGTACTGCAGTATGTGAGAGTAGACCCGGAGGTGGACAGTAGTTTGTAATGTCTATTTTTAGAAGCACTTTTGCTGTTCTTTAGTGACGCCTCTCTCTTCTTTCTGACAAACAACTAACTACATTCTAAGCAGAGGCGCGTCTACTCGATCCCGCCTTGGAGGAGCGCAGAACTGAGGGTGAAGAGGTGCCGGATGAAAAGCTGGACGTGGAGGGCGACATGTCTGCGCCCCCGGACGAGATCTTCGGAGATTCGGAAGACTTATGACATAAGCTACTTATTTGATCTGAACGTGAAGGTCGTAACAACCTTCAGGCTACCAACTTAAAGTTAAAGAATGGAAACTGAGTCTTACTTAGCTAGAAGGACAGAAGCGCCTGTCAAGTACTTAAAGAATGGAAACTGAGTCTTAGCTAGAAGGACTGAAGCGCCTGTAGTACTCCCATCAGGAACAACCTCAGTATTTCGCTCTAAATCTGCTCGAGGACGACGACGAAGATTTGAATCCAGACGACGAAATGACAGACGAGAAACTACTCGAGGATGAAAATTATGAATAGCCTATTGACATGAAGGCTAACAAGACCTCTCTACTACTAGCCGAAAGTAGTGCACAGAGGTACCATGACATGACATTAGAATCGTCGAATGAATACCCTATTGACATGTCAATCCTCCAGTACCCTAAGATTACGTCTTCTATTAGATCGGTGGACAGCTGTAGCTGTAGAAGAGATTGGTGCACAGCTGTAGCTGAGATGTTGAACTACAAACTCATTGCAAGGCTGTGCAGATACCTTGTACGGATGTTCCATCTTCTAAGATACAGAGAAACTACGCATAAGAAAGATGCAGGCTGCTGCGAAGGCCAATGTTAAGGGTCATTATCATTTTGCATCCTCCGCTGCGCATCCTTGAGGTGCTTTTCTATGCATTACGGAAAGAGTCTGATTGCATTGAGAAAAGAGTCTAAGATGATGTTCATTCTGAGGAATGCAAAAATGTCGAAACAACTTCTAAGAATGATACTGATAAAGCAGCAGAAGGAGCGACATCCCCTCCTTCGACAAGCGACAAGCCTCGTCCAGACTATATTTTCGACTCGGTGAGCAGATCTTTTAAGACGCCGGACGGACGACCAGTGAAAGTAGACCCTCAAACAGGGAAAATCCTAGCGTTCCTGGATGCACAGTTAAGAATCATGCAAATTATATTTATAGGATCTTCATGTATAATGCCAATGCCCATAGTTACATTTGAGTCTTTCGTTTTTTCTTAGGTAGATCACATGGTATTACAATCGAAGGACTTTGTAACAGAGAGAAGGAGATGAAAGGAGAATGTTGCTGCTCTACGGTGACCGAGAAGGACATGACATACTACTTCTGCTAATTATTTCAACTGACGCGGAAAAGACGACACCAGAACCGGTTGAGGTCGAAGAGGTCGCGGAAGACACCGTCTTGGACTACAAACCAGAATTATAGACGTGCTAGCCGTGAAGGCCACAAGTGGTCTGAAGAGCATTAATATTAAATTGGAATTGGTGAATTCTTGAACTGGACGACAAGTGCAGCGAACGGCCTTCAAATTGTCGGCCTGATATGTAGCCAAGTACTGCCGTCTCCATAGACACACCGTTCGTTACTATCTTGTCTTGCCGGGGGCAGTGGATTAGTACTGTGCAAGACCCGAATGAATCAAAATAGCATCTACGTATATTAATATGGCAGCTTACAACAAGAAAAGCTCGTCGCCAAACAGTAATAAGATATTCATTACGTCTCTCTCTTCAGATTCTAGGAAGAAAAAAGAACTAACAACCTACTAAACTAAGAAAATCAATACCCACAAAGCTACGCATCCACAAACAGAACCTCACTTGTTGTAATCCAATTATATTAAGGATACAAGCAAACTGAAATTAAACGCCCTCCATGTCAGGGGGGCCACAAACCTGTATTGTTAATGAAAGCAAGCACCACTGATTCCTTTGACGTAACTTCTAGTTTCAAAGTGACGACTGAAAGCATACTGATTCCTTTGAGGTAAGTAACTATCAAATTAATTCATTGTTCAGCTGTAACATGAGACTCGGTTGAAGATTTGACATTTATCCAAGAAACCCTAGTAGTCCTTCTAAACACGAGAAGCGAAAACTGGACCCGTGATTATGCATACAACTAAGCACCATCCGAAAGCCCATGAGCTTTCTTTCGTTGAAGATATCCTCGCATTCTATGTATGAAATTAATGCGTCTTTGATCCATAATTTCGCAGTGGCCGCCCTCAGTGTTCGTGTCCTTGTAAAAGCTATTAATCACAGTTGATCCTGTCTTTTCTTCTGGCTGGAGATGATGCCTACAGGATGTTCTTTGGATGCTCCTTGGATACTCATGTCAGTTCATATGACCTTCTGAATTTTGTTACAAAAATTTAGTGATAAAACTACAAATTGTACTTCTTGTCCGGCGGGAAGCAAGCAAGTAGAAGTATTGCGCTTTGTTTTCTATTTTCCAGAAGAATCAGAATGCGGTTGCTTTGTGCTCTTTTGCCGTTGGACTTTTACCCTGTGATAAAAGTGGAATGTAAATGGACTGCGACGTAAGTGGATACGCATCTTCGCACAATTACTTTCGCGACTTTTCTTCATGAAGATCATTGGCAAAGAGAACCCTATACTATAGTAGAGAAGTAGAAAACAACGGTTACAACCCTAAAACAACAGTAACAAGAAAAATCCCACTGCTACTAACTAGTAACTGCTTAGACAGAATTAGAAACCACTACAGATCCAGATTCTACTGTATGCCCGGCAATTTCAAGGTGAAGCCGTGCATCCAGGTCTTCCCGACTTCTCCAACAGGGTGTTTCTTTCCGCACTACTTGATTGGAACCAGAAGATCACCACGACTTCTTGTACCAAGTACTAGTACTACAAGAGGGTGGTGGTGGCTTAGTTGGATGAGACATATTACAACAACAAATACAACAAATAATACTACTCCTTTGACAACTTCTTCTTCTTTGGAAAGCCTGAAGGTTATCCTCGACACCTACAACAGCATCAAGACGAGGACAATCATGACGGCTTCTTCTTCATCGGATGTGCGCGTAGTGACGTATAACGTGCTGTCTCCGCTGCTCGCAGACATTTCATCGCACACACATTAAGGCCTCATCAATGCTCTGCTCATAAAACAGGACAAAGTGTCAATAGCATGACGAGCAATAATATTGAACTTCTGCATGATGGTGCTAGCAGTGGTCTTGGTCCTTGGTCCAATGATCATTTAAAAAGCAACATCATGATCAAGTGCATGGTACGACTTACTAACCATAGGGTAGGTTTTTGATCTAGGTTCCATCTTTGCCAGGCTCTTCAGCAGCCGTCGAAGTCTGCCACATTGGATGGTAGATCCCAACCTAACCTAACCTAACCTACTAATCAATGTAGAACTAGTACAGGCTGAAGCTGTCTCAATAGCACATCAAGCCTCTAAGAAGCGTGTACCTTGGAGAACCTGCAGGCCGATACTCGACTTGCCAGGATCAAACAGAAATTGGAGGGGGAGATAGTTATGAACCACGTTATTTGAACATGCTGTAGTACGTGCTGTAGTCGAAGATATTGATTATATTCCACCTAAGAGAACATGAAGGTATAACGCTTGCCGAAGACCATCTGCGGCCATTTGAGACGCGACGATGATGAGTTATAACGGCAACAGATTCCCCGTCAACAGAGTCCCATTAGCAAGTAGGTTCCCATTAGCAAGTAGGTTTCTAATTCTATATTTCATCTATCTAGTGAAATGAAGTATAGTGGAAAACGTCCTCCTGTAGTACATAGTACTCTACTAATGCCAGAACAAAGAAGCCGATCGTATGTCTACAGGAAGTAGGGCTGTCGTGGAAAGGTCCGCTGTTTTCCTTCTTCGACGAAGCAGGCTACAAAGTGATCGATACCCACTACGGCAACCAATATTTAAGGCTAGTATAATATCTTCACTATCTTCCCGAGAGTTGGACCTTGCTGACGATTTCCATATGACTGCGTCCCCCTCGATTTAATGGGGAAATGGGTAATATTCGAGTACCGGAGGTCTAGTCTAGTAGGCTACTCGCCGGTTACAACTTCATGATAATGAAAAACTACCTTTAAGATATGCGGATTACATGGGAATTCTAGTTGCATATCCGGCAGACCGCTACCGTTGTACCAAGACGGACACTGCAAGAGTCAGCGACATCTTTCAGCAGAAGATACCAGAAGAAGAAGGCCAAGAAAAAAGAAGGCAAGGAGGAGGAGGGGCCGGGATAAAGGTAAAATAAGAATACTGATATTTTTTTGAATTTGATTTCTGTGGCTGTCAATGTGACGTCTTATTTGTTGATGTGGACGTCAGCAATGTCTTTCAGCTCTTATTTGTTGATGTGGTAGTCCAATAGATATAGATTCTATCTTACAATACCACAACAGGGCGCCCTCGCGAAGTTGGGCGCAGAAGTGATGGCGAAGTTTGTGAAGCGCGAAAGTGCACCAAAACCCGAAGAGTCGGGATGGGAGATAGCCGAGAGACGTCAAAACCGCATCATCCTAGCTGCATTTGAATTTAAGCAGGATTTAAACTAATATTGGACGGACACCTAAGCTAACCTAGTATTTTCGCATTGGTATTTATGGCAGCCTTAACGCGTTATTTTAGCAACACGTTATAGAGCAGAACTTTAATAGCGCAGTACTAGAATCCAACCAGCATGCGTCTATAGCGCGGCTAAGTACGTAAAAACTGTTTTTCATCTGTTCATTCTGTAGTTACATGATCATTGACATTCATCGGTCTTCTTTTACTAAGGTAGGCCAGCTTGTTATCATCTCTCCCGAATCCTCATCGCCTCATCTAAGCGCCCCTTGTCGACAGAAAAGAAGCAGGCATTTGCTTTGGCAACATATCACAATCCATGTCTCTTCGGCTCAAAAGAAAAAGTTCGAGCACTGGCGATACACTCGACTTGGATAGCGCAGGCGTTGGAGAAATTCGCAGAGGGAAAACCCAGAATACTCTGTGGAGATTTCAACTTCACACCGAAGAACAGTACTACCATGATCCTTAAACACTAATGATACTAAAGCACGTTGAATCTGTTTCGTCTTGCCGGGTGTTTAGGACGACTACTTGCGACGCAGTAATGATGAAGATGATGCTGCTTTACTATTCTTGTCATACTAAAGAACAGTCATCTATGTTGAATTCTATTTATTTCTTTGCCTCTCCATCTTACAACTTTACTCCATAGAAATACTAGGTCTCGTTTACTACTACATGACAACCGGCAGTGCTGAAGTAGCTGAGCGTCTGGATTTTCAGCGTGGCAAGGGCGCGAAATATAGCGATTGGGACTCGAAGCTTCAGCCGATGGGGTCTGCTTATGTTACGGCTAGATAGTATTGTGTGAAAATGAAGAAGAACTCAGATGAAATAAGAGATAATGACTGACGGAAGGATATTAAGGTAAAGGATAAGGTGAAGAAATTCCTCAGACTCCGCGAGTATGAGAAGGGATAGCATGAGCCATGTTACTTAGGTGAACGAATGATAAACACAGAGCATGCCCAGCAAAAGCAAAACAATTATCCTATTATAACTCTTCTAAGCATGCAGAATACAGTCGCAGCACGACTTCTGAGACCGCAGCACCCACTGACGTGAAACTAGTTGTAGACTCGACTGATTCTTCATCTTCTAGTGCGAGTGACGGCGTCGAAACCCCACATGCAGATGCAATCAAAAGCGCTGAATCGATGGAGCCGAGATACACTTAAGAGCTGTAATTTGTTGTCGATGATCGGATAGTGTGCAAAATTCAACAGAGGGTTTGTTGGTATTAGATCATTACTTGCTGATACATACAACAGAGTACTCACCATACAGATACATACAACAGAGTACCTACCCCCACAACAGAGTACCTACCCCGACAACATAGTGATCGAATATGAACGCTAAGCGACGTCGCATCTGATAGTACCCTAAAAGACACCCATCGAGTACCGTAGAAGACACTCAATGCTAAAAGGGCGTTGCGGCCCTGCATCCCATCATCCTCTAATCCAGCAACTATGCAAGTCGCCGAGACCCAGAAGGGGACGATTTCATGGAGACCTTGGATTACGTTTTTTACGGCCCCAAAAGCGCCTGGACGGTCAAGGACATCGTGAAACTGCCATCTGAGGAAGAAGGCAAAAAAATCGGCGTCTGTCCCAACGAGAGGGAGCCAAGCGATCACTTGTTGTTGGGGGCAACGTTTTCGTTGAAGTGAAGGGTCCTTCTACTACTGAAGTGAAGAATGTCGTGTTAACTTGTGGGCGACCATTATAATCTCATTCATGGGCTACCATTTCTGGTTCAGGATTGGACGTATGGGCTACTATCTTATTCTTAAGGCTGTACCTAAGATGAATTACGGACCGCTCTAATATTCATGCTTTCCACATGTCTGTGAAAATCTTCTCTCTGCCGCTTGCTGTGCCTCTGGTCCCATTTGCTTTGCCAGCCAAAGGGAAATACTGTTCTCTACAGTGTGAACGTCTTTATTCTGCTTGATGTACAGATAAGGGATGGTAGAGTAACTCTAGATTTCTTTACCAAAATAAGAGATGGTAGAGTAAGTTGCAATGCATAAAGATAAGTAAATGAAAGTGGATGCACAGAGGATTGTTGAAGTGTGACTCGACGGAACCCTGCGGCTGTCAGTCTCATAATGAAAGTAGGAATGAATGTTCAAATGCAGCAGCACTGCTCCACTGTTTCCCGTGGACGATCATGATACTTAACTTGTTGAACTGTCTGCTTATAGTTCCGAATCAGATGAGGCATGTGAATAGGATGCACCACGGTCTTTCGCATGGAGTGCGTGATAGTTCATCTGCATTTGATACTCACTGTCGGCCGTCCGAATTCCAGAATCTGTTCTTGAATCTGTTCTTAGATCATTCAACATTCAGCAGACGATGATCTCGATCCATTTTCTCACAAGGATCTTGATGCACACCGCTAAAACCGAGAATACGAATTGGAATTTTTATTTCACACCCTTATCTTGAAGTAGCATCTACCAAACTCCTCCACGCTTGTTTAGAAATAGACCAGAGATGGGGTTTATTTGTTGTAGAGCTTTAGGCGTGAGAAGACGATGTTCAGTAAGCCACAAATATTGAATTATTTATTGAATAAAAAAGACCACTTGACTCATATTGACTATGCGACTGTTGATTTCTTTTTGAATAAAAAATTTGAAGTTTAGATCATCAAAATGAGTACGTCGGACCGAAAACCAAGAGGCCGCGGGCGCGTCGAGGATGAGGATGACAGGTAGGGACCTGTTTTTACTACTTCGAGTAGTACCAACAACAAATTGAAGACACATTTTGATTTTGTTTTTCATTGCAACCCTCTCCACTATGTAGCGAAAAAGCAACAGCAAGTTCAAGTTATTTTTGTCTCTCAACCCCTCCCCCTCGCCCTCCCGTTCATCTACCCACCAACCGTTTCCACAGCAAGATTCTAGCTAAAACCACAGGTACGACGGCGAGTCAGGTCGTTTCGAGCGACTGGACGAGGATGGCATGGGGGAAGCCGCGAAGAGCGTGGAGGGTTGGGTCATAGTGATAGCCGGCATACACGAAGAGACGCAAGAAGAGGATATATACGAGAGGTTCAGCGAATATGGCGCGATAAAAAATATGCACTTGAACCTCGATCGAAGATCAGGATATGTGAAAGGTACAACTTTTTTTACGTCGTCCTTGAAGATAGACTTATTGTACTGGACAACTACCACGAGGTCTATGTTCTAACCCTTGACTTCTTGGTACAGTTACAAAACAGTCAATACCGTTGGTACAGTTACAAAACAGTCAATGAATACCGTTGAAAGAAGTCCTACACCTACTTACGCAGTCTTTTTACACTATATATTAATCACCTACCACTTCCTGTAACCCTGAAATAAACCCCGACAGGTTATTGTTTCCTTGAGTACGAACACAAGGATGAAGCAGCGCTAGCGATAAGAGAACAGCATGGCGCAGCAATGCTTGGTGAGAAAATGGTGGTGTCATGGGCGTTTACAAAAGGTGATCCATCAAAAAGCAAGAAACGGAAACGAACATAGATTTGCGGATCTTCTTTATGATCATAAGAACGTTTCATCAGCACAACATATTATTGCTACTTCATCAAGGAGATCGAGATACATGATTTTTGGTAACAAAAGAGCAATCACACTACATAACCATGTTGAAGAACCTCCAGAAGGTCACAAGACGTACATGAAAGATGAACCCGCTACGAATGCCCTTAAAGTCATATACTCATCCGCCTCCCGCCCCAAGGAAGACACCATCAACATGTGAGGAAATCACAGCATATTACTCCAACATGCGGACAAGCTGCATGGCCTAAGACTGGCCTGGTACTGTCATCATCTACGTCTCAATATGGAGACTGCTGTTCTGCTAAAAAATGATGCTAGGAATAATGGGCGGACGATGAGATTCCATAAAGTCCTCTCGTCAAAAGGGGCGCCGCTTGTGATGAAAACAGGTCCAGTTTGACGTTCTCTAAGCTAAATCTCGTCACGAGTGTGCTTCTACGTTCATATCCTGAACAGCCATCCTGGAGTTTAGAAGCAGAGGTCCTCTAGAGAGACTCAACATCCACCTACAGTATTAGTTCTAGAGAACTACACATCTATAATGAAAATGAGCACATAGAAAAGATGTGCATCTTAGTAGAGACAGAATAACTCTTCATCTAGAGAACACACACTGAAAACAAAGATGACATCATCAAACAGGAAGCGTGTGGTTTTCTGCGTTGGTGACTCGCATACCCAAGGTTGCATCAACAAGTCAGCAAATTACGTTGATCTGTTGACAGCTGCCTTATCGTCCTCGAAGTCGAGTTCCATCGCAGATTGCAGTTCACAGGAGACGGGATCGTCACAGGAGAAAGGACATTCAGCGGTGACACATGCGGTGGTGCTGAGTCATGGAATCATTAAGGCTAGCTTTGAGGGGGCTTAAAATTACCTGCTGGACAACAAGAAAGTCGTGTCCCAAGTGAAACCGCTTGTAGAACGCCACAACTAGTCTGTAGTTACAAGTAGGAGACCTCTCTACTGATGTGATTTCTGAAGAAGTCAAAACGATGAAAATAGAAAACCAGTACTTCCGCACCCCACATTTATTTCGCTAATATCAATGGGCAGCGAACATGGGAAATCGGAGACCGTATAGGGGCAGGTATCCGCGAAACATGCGCCGATGACGTTGTCCTTCTTGCTGGCACAAATGACTGTTTGCGACATCTGTGGCAAGAGGTTCATAATTCGAGTATGCTACAAAGGCAAAGGCAGAGGGAGGACGTTGCGAAAGATTTATGGTAGGTAGTTCGCTTTTCGAAATTTATTTTCGTTCTGAACTTCCTCTGCTTTCTCCATTAAACCTTCTGGCACTTATCTCACGCCTAAACCGTTATTTTCGTTTCGAGTCAATTTTTGACTCAAAAGTAGATCGATGTTGACTAATCTGTCATTGAGTTTATATAAGTATGCGGACTCACTTTGTTGACGAGGAACTGGCACGACATTTACTTCTTGTATTCTGATGCAATTGAGTCTTTTTCTTTACGCAGCGTAAATCCACTTTCTCTCTCTAAAACTCGCAGTGGATGCTAGGAAAACCCCAGAAAACAACATAGAGGCGTTTGCAACGGATTACAGAGATTGCTTGTGGGAAGCAGTAATCGCGCTAGATGATGTGAAGGGGAAAAAGCGATGAATTTTCTGTCTTACGTTGCCACCCTTAGGCGAGGACCCGACGGATCATAGCAACGAAGTTACTAGAAGATACAGTGACTAAGGCAAATCATCATGGTCGTAGCATTTTTGAAGTATGAATATAGCTGTAGTGCGTAGTTTTTGCACCTCCCGCCTCAACAATTTCTAGTCTACGGTCGTCATTATTTTGGGGTTCTAAGTCTAACCTCTAAGACAAGATAATCAAAGACGTTGTTGCGGGGTTCTCTCGAGAGATGGCTTTCATTCGTGCTGAGGGGGGCAAAAGGAGTAATGTGAGCATTCACCTCGTCGACATCGCAAAGTCCTTGTTTGAGGAGGCTGACTCATTACAATTAAGGCGTCTCGTCCTAATTTATGTCCAGAATGCACATCTTGGAGAAACTGCCCCATAGATGATAAGGGGAGAAAGGACTTACTAGAAGTACATGTGCCATGATAAGGAACTGTGACATAAGGCGAAAACAGATCCGAGATCATGAGTCCCAAGATGGATGAGGGTGAGCTCTTCTAAAAATGCAAGGAATGATTAGCGGACAAGAACAACAACTTCGCAAGAGGACGCTTAGTAGGAATCGCCACCAATTTGACCCTACACGAGGGTCCGGGCTTCTCGCTCTCGACATGAGCGTCGGCATGCTACTGCCTGCAGCAATTGAAAAGGTAGCATCAATACTCTCCTCCCTCTGCAGTGGGCCAATTGTGAGAGCTTTGACTTGCTACTCACAGTACTTCTACTTGCTGGTGGACCCAGCGAGGCGTTGGCTGCTCCAGAGAAATCAGCGTCTTCAGGGCAAGACGAAGATTACAGCAGGGTGCACCTCATTATTGGATCGATTCCAAATGAGTGTGCCATTGCACTTGTTAAGGCTCTTCATTTTCTGTAATCTAGTGTCCGTTTACTATTTAAAAATAAAGGAGAACAATCTTGATGATCTTGCTAGCTTTCTTAACTAAAGGTACTACGTCACAACACTCCAATCAGTACCAGCAAGTCGATGTTTCCTGTAAGATCTTCGATGACCTTCTTCTTCTTTAGCATCTTCTCTTCTGTAGCATCAATCTTGCTTTAATCTCGAGACCGCAACGCAGAAGCTTGAACGACTTTCATACCCTGTGCAGTCGTCTCGTCTGCTCTTGCACCTTACTGTCGGATCGGGTCCATCTCAATGCCCGTGGAGCCCAAGTCGTCACCTCCGATATCCTGCTGGCGATGGCAGCAACTACTAAGGATATCGTGCAGTGCCAGTAGTCGAATTGGATGAGATACACCAACTTTGTACCAGTAGTCGGACGAGAGGATGGGATAGACCATGATGAGGCAGACCACGTTCTTCAGGAGAGATGGGTGGATGAAGCAGATGGGAATGAGAGGATAATATGTGAGAAAAGTAGTCAACACGAGTCTCGCTTAAGTGGCAGACCACTAGTTGATTGCGGTTCACGATTCGCCTAGTCCCTAGTTTGACGAACAGCGAGTCATGTAGCTATGAGATCTTTACAAAATGAGTTCTTTACAATAAGCCAGCACTTCTTTACTAAATCAGCACCTCTTCGCAATTTGAATCTAGAAGGCCCGATATCTACTAGGTCGTGATGAGCTGACATCTACCGCAAATTCTATATCTACTAGGTCGTTTACTTATTTTATTTTGCTGACTGTTTACATCTCTACTAGTGGATGCCTTTTATTGTAGAAGGCCACTCAGCTTCTTGTGTTTTTGTTCTTTTGCCTCATCATTATCGAGTCTCTAGCGAATCCTAAATTTTGCGACTAGATTCCTTTCTGACCTTATCGATTCTTACTTTATACCAATATATTTCTTTTTGAGCGAGGCACCAAAAAGTGGTGGAGGAGGGCTGAAGATGTTCTTACAGGGACCGTTGTGGATGCATTCCTATATCGATGCTCCTTTACGGCCTAAAGAATCAATTGCATTTTCGCAAAATGAACTTCTCTTCATCGAGAGTTGTATTATAGAAGACTCGTGAAGTAGATGCAAAACTCTCGTGGATGATAAAAAAGATTCCTCAATATCCGTCTTAGAGGATTAATCGGCACCGTCTTGGAAGATTAGGAGGTGAGAACCTTGAGAAGGGTCATGCTCGTGGCTGGCATCTCTTTTCATAATTAGAACAGTGTTCTACACCGTCTACGCTTCTCGTTCTTTTCTAGAGTTATATTCTACTATTCACTCAGGTTGGGATAGTGAAAATCACAATCAAGCTTCGAATTAAAAACTTATTGTGTCGAATGAATCTCCTGTGTCTTGTTCGTTGGCAATTATATCGAGTTCTCAATTTCATGTCGTCTTAGAATTTTGCGTCAACATGACCTACCAACGCCAAATCCTAGCTGGGGCCGAGAGAGAGAGGTGCTGGGCTTCACTGTCATCTCTACTACACAGCAGCCCTATTATTTACTAATAGTATATAGACGGTGGGCGGCTGGGCACGCTGGGCTACGCGGGGTGGCTCGGCGGCCACGCTGGGCGGCAGGGCCGGGCACGCCAGGCGGGCGCTTGGATGACGCTGAGCGGACTTGAGGGCCACGCATTCGGCACGCCGAGCCCGTGCGGCCGATTTGCTTGCGCCTCGTTGGCGCGGTGCTGCGCGTCCCCTGAGCACAAACAAAGGCGCTGCGCCGCCCCCAAGGTTCCGGGCAGCGCTGCGCCAGTTTGCGCAGTGGCGGCCTGCGCCTGCTCTGTGCAGGCCTGCGCTGCGCTGCTTGGTGCAATGCTGCGCCGCCCTTGTCCACAACGGCCCTGGCGGTTGCGTAATTCGCCAGCTTCGTTGGCTTACGCTAGACTAGCACTGCTGTTGGGATTCTCAAGCGGGCGCCCGAAGGGCGGCCCGCATTTTGAGATCCTTGGCGTCAAGCTGGGTAGACGCTTGTCGCAGAATTCGGCACAGCTGGCACAATCGGGTCGCCCAGCGCTCCCAGCGTGTCCAGCCCAGCCAGCTTCACATAGGTTAAAAGCCTTTATTAGTTAAGACCTTCGTAATTTTTCCAACCTCCTCCTTACGGAGTTTTTCTGTACTTGTGTAGTAAATTAGCCATGGATCATCTCTTCCGAAGATATTTATCGTTGCCTGTCTCATGATCAGCTGCCATTTTTCTGAGTAAAAAGCACATGATGTTCAGGTCTTCCGTGTCTTTTCCTAGAAGAGAGGTCTAGCGTCGGGAAAAAGCTGTGATGAATGAACAAAATAGCTGTTAGATTTAGATAGTACCTTAAAAAATAGAAGATCTTCGTAGTAGAAATTAAAACTTCTACTTCATCTGTACAAGAACATTACAACTTCATCTATACAAGAACTAGTGCGAAGTTTAGTAGTAAAGCGTCTCCATACGACGTCATATATTATTGTCCAAGCGTCACCATGTTAGTTAGCGTAACCATATAGTTGCTTCCAAGCGTAACTCCAGTGCGAGGAGTTTACGTTTGGAGAGCAGACACGGAGGAATCCAATCTCTTAATCCTCGACATCACAGAGATGAGAAGTGGTCGTTCTCCTGTCCACCAAAGTTTCAACAATGGAGGTAGAGGTGGTAGTAATGCTATCATGATGCCATCTAGTTGTACCTCTTCGGGAGGAAGACAAGGGAAGAAGATGTCCTCTAGTGGTGGCGGTGGTATGTCCTCTAGTGGTGGCGGTGGTATTTCTGGTGGTCGTAACTATGATGGCGGCAGTAAAACGGACAACTACAAAGGATCATCAACCTCGAAAAACCAACAAAATACTCATGTTGGACAACAGGTTCATCAGGTTGCTCCACAGGTTCAAGGTCGTTACGGGAGCATCGATAGCCGGGATGGGATGGGGAGTGCTACTAATTGGTATAATAATGACCAGCACCACCAGAGGCCTCCGTCGTACGGCAAAAATGGCCCTCCACATCAAACTGCTCACGACTTGGTGGATGGGAGACATGTTCTTGAGAATGAGCGATATGGGGGAGTGCGTTCTCGCCAAGAGGAGCACGACTTTGTTCGAGGACCTCAGCAGGGTTAAGGCAGCAGGGTTAAGGCAGCTTGTAGATCAGTAACAATGTAGACTAGTAAATCAAAAATTTGAATTTGATGGTGCTTTGTTTGCATTTTTATCTAAATGATCATTCTAATTCGTATATTCCAACTCGCAGTCGCATCATGGGGGCAGTGGAAGTCGCCCACAGAGTGGAAACCCTCGACTACAACACGCACAGAGTTTACACTCGTCGCCCTTCGGTCCACCATCACGTCCTCCACCCGAAGCTACAGATGCAGGGGCGCAATTGTCTGACCGGCAAAGACTCGACGTGGATCTCATTGCGGAGAGCGGTTTGGACATGAACACGCTACAGGAAGCTGTGTTCTGTAAGATTCATTTTTATTTCTGAAAACTATAGGTGGTTCTGAAAAATCTGATATTATCTGATAAATAAGGTTCGGATTTGCAGAACTACAACGAACTGATAACGTCTTTTGTTACAACTATTTTGGAAGAAGCAGTCATTCATAAATCTTGCTTAGACCATACATATTTTAGTAGCAACTTCTTCAATACCTTCAGTTAAATAATCGACCAAAAAATAGCATGTTCATCTACTTCATACCATAGTACATCACCATCACGGCTACTTTAAGATTATGATAAACTACAGTCGCTCGGCAGAGAGGAGGCGGCCAAAAGTCGGGAGAAAAAGATAAAGGGCCAGGGAGAAATACCATGGCAGCACGCGCGCAAGCGGAGCAAATGATGCGGTTGTTGGAGCTAGAAGACGGTCATCAGCGAGCGGACAGATATGGCCAGCATAATCAGCAGCAAGACCAGAGATATGGCAACCATAGACCTCCAGGTGAACGTCACAACAACTTCTCACAGCATCAAGAAGGTACTTCTCGGAAAGGGGCATCTAGTATATTATACTGGGGCTCAAAATCCATGCAGGACGAACAATTTCCGAGATTCGGCGCTATCGACTCGCGAGGACCGCGACCTCCGAGTAGCAAAGGTGCTCCATCAAGCACAGCTCTCCGTTATGGTCTCAGACTTTATCATCCATCTCTCAGCTCAGCTCAGCGTTGAGACCGCATTGCACACTCTAACGTCGTTCGCAAGTATCCCACAACAAGAACTCCATGAAAGGGCCCTCGGCACCTACGCACACTTCTCCGTCGATGCAGCTGAGTGAAAGTGACAGTAGGAGTAGAGCTGGAGGTCGCTCAGTCGCAGATGACTTCCTTAGTAGAGTTAAGGCTACAAGAAATCGACCTTCCCCAGCAACATTTTGGTCCTCGTCCCGTTTTTTTTAAAGGAAGTAAAGAGGGGCCCCAAGATGCTTCTGAAGCAGGATCTCTCCTAGTTCTAATCAAGGTAGAGATATGGCCGGAGGAGGTCCTGGCAGCCGTCTTCCGGTTGCTATGGCAGGTAGAGATATGGCCGGAGGAGGTCCTGGCAGCCGTCTTCCGGTTGCTAACAACTACGGGCCACGCTCTAGACCAAATGCTCCTGGTCGCAGCCGTCCTCCGGTTGCTACCAACTATTACGATTCTAGTGAAGTAGAGGTTCCATTCCACCCTCACCCCAGTGCTAGAGACGTCAGGTATGATGACGATCATTTTATTAGAAGAAACAAGAACAACTACGACCACGACTTTGCTGGTGACCACGACAGCGATTCTCGAACGAGGCGTGCTGGTAATAATAATGATTCTCGAACAAGGCAGCAACATCTTCCACATCGTCAACAACAACCAAATATTAAGGGTAGTTTATCACTATCTCAAGTGAACTATGCTGAGTGGAGTCCTTCTTGAATTCGAGGGGAAGCTAAGGGTAAAATGTTGAACGCAGCCAACCAGGGATAGCGAAAAACTACCTTTAAAAATAGTACTAATGGCACCTCCTGCGGTGGATTCAATAGAAGAGACGCTCCTTTATCATCCAGCTATAATAGTATGCAGGGCCAACACTCGTTGATGCACGGCGGGACGTCAAGAACGATGAACAACGACGATTTTTACGGCTCTAGTAATGTTGTTCAACAGCATGCTCTTCGTGAGGAGGATTACAACATTTCCGATCGGAACAACTTTGGAGGTGTGAACAACAACAATCGCCGAGCCCATAACTATGACAAGAACAACTATGGAAAGCCAGGACTTCCTCCAGGAGCTTCGTCGAATGAGCAATGCAGTCGTCTTAATAGCCATGACAATCGAAAGGGCTATGGAGGACCACGGGGACAATTCGACACCACTCCGATTATGGTTAGCTTCTTTCCATCTTTCTCCGCACCTTGATCCCCTTTTGCCATGTATTTTCATGAAATACAAGGGAAAAGGGGTCGTCGAGATGAGGGGACCAAGATGGATTAGCGCTAAGTCTCAGATGCACCATCATCGTGGAGCAGCCCAGATGAGAAGACGGCATGACTACACTCAAGCTTCTTCGGGCACCGGGGCCAAGTCCTCAAGGAATGAAAGCAACAACAAAAACAGTAGCACGCTTAGTCCTCAAGGAATAAAAGGAACTAAGGGCGGTGCAGGTGTTGGAGGTATGCCGTCATGTATGCACTTCTCACTACCATTCTTGACTTGTTTTCCAGTAGGAAAACGGTCAGGGATGATCTGAAGAATGCAATGGCGCAGCCTCTAAATGCGAGAACTTTTCTCGAGGTCCACCGGTTGGCTCTGGTCCTGGTGGTCGCGCTGGTGGTACAAAGTCTTCATCACGACAGGGGAAAGAAGGTCCTCGTGGTGCGTCTCATGAACAGCAGGACAAGATCAACAAGGGTAAAAGAATTACTAGCATATTGATCGATGTTGAGACAAATCCATCAGGAGTAGATCGCGGCATAGACCCGAGTAAGTGCTGGATTGCTCTGCGCAAGACGGATCTTGCCATTTGGGTCGAGGGGATGCCGCATCAAATGCGACTGGAGGGTATTGTGCGCTTCGCTAAGACGCTGAAGATTGACGCGGTGGGCTGGGCACGACGACAGCGCAGAGGCTATCGCGAATCCATGTTCACAAAGCCATTTGGTGTCAAAATGGTTTACTACAACATCACGACCGGAAGCAACAAAGGGGCGTTGGCCCAGTTGCAGACGAAGTTCGGACTTGTTGTCCCTGATAGTAGTAGCGGTGCAGCTACGACCAACAACTCTCCGACCTCGACGAAGGAGGACGCATCCTCTCTGTTGTGTCTTATCGTGTTTCCATCCGGCCAGTGGCTTCTCTGCTGCACGACTCCGTTTTGGACGCTAGACCCTGTAAAGCGGGTGCAAGAGTACAAGAAGAGAGCAAACGAGGGGCCAGCGCTGGGGTCGCTTGTGTGGCCAGGAGGCGATGCAAATTTTGACACTAGTGGCGACGCAGGCTTTGATGACATTAATAATCATGATCTATGTCGCCAGGACGAGATCATGAGTGTTGAAGATGTCCACAACAGGAAGAACAAGGATCATCATCAAGAACAAGATGTTCATCTTCAAGTTCAAGATGTCAACAAGATGAAGAACACGACTGCACTGTTGACGAATAATGCAATGGTGAATGGTGTCCTCGCAAGATTTCGAAAGCAGCTCTGCAACGATGGGGGGAGGGTCCTCTTTGGTCGCACTTTTACGATTCGCATTCCCCGGAAGACATTCGAGGCCACGCTTGTCCCAATCACGGTGCCCGTTCGAGCTTTCGGAGGTGAAGGTAAAGGAGTAGAAGTAGCCCTTCCAGGTGAAGACTCTTCTTCGAACCAAGAAGTTGATGTAGTACCGCAGCCACAAGAGGCAAACGCAAACAAGAGTCTAGAAGTGCCTTCTCTCCAGAGTAGTCCACCAGGATTGATTGGGAAGAGCACTAGCAGTCCAACTAGCAGTTTAGAAGATGATCCAGAACTAGTAAGCTATGTGAGAATCAACCCAGACGAGAAAGTTGTTTTGGACAGCATTAGCATGCGTGTGCTCTTCGAGACCTGGCTTCGCTCTCAGTGCAAAGGCGCAAAACCTTTTTTGAGTAAGGACGGGAAAAATCATGATAAGAATGAGGAGGTCCTAGTGGAGGTGTCTGTATCATCTTCTGCTGCTGTACGCTCTTCTGGGACCACGAAGAAGAACCAGCAGGATGTAGGAGACGAGGAGGAAGCGACTTCAAGTGCTGGTGCTGGAGATGAAAAAGCGATGGTTGCGGCATCTCATATTTTCATCGGACATGGTCCACACGAAGAGAGGAACAAGGCTGCTGTGAACAACAAGACTGCGGACGACACGACTGCCGAGAACCTCCAAGAAGAGAGTACTACACTAAAAGATCAACATGGAGAAATGGATCTCCTTACTATGACATCACAGTTGCCACCACTCTCCAGGCTCGCGTGGGAGCTTCTCCCAAAGTGTGTTGACACGGGGGGTGATCACTGCAGGCAGCCAGTAGACAGTGAAGCAGGTACAACCGAAGCGAACGACATTGAAGACGACTATGATGATGACCTCGATTGCGAAGGCGATGGCGATCAAGTAGGAACAACAGCGCGGGGCAAAGGCAAAAGTAGCACGAATCGCAATAGTAAGTCTTCAAAGGCGGGACGTAAAGCCAGTGGTTGTAAGAATCATGACTTTGAGGATGGAGGGCCTGAGTTTCCTTTTGCTCAAGGCAGCTGCACTACTTTCTGGGGTGATGAAGGTGGCGGTTCTCTCTACAAAAGATCATCTGCGTCTTCTTCAACCTCCTCGAATGAGCAATCTTCAAACGAAGAGAGTCTCAAATCTCTTGAGCTTGACAGTGCTGCAAATGATGCAAGAACCCGTTTTCGTATCGCTGAGCGCGTGCTTCAGGTAGAAAAGGGTCGTCCAATGATTCCGCTGTCACGCTCCGAAAAAATTCAGGTCCTCGACCTCTACCTGCTAAGAGGTCCGAATGCTCTGAAGGATGCCCTTTTTGCCGAACAAGCGGCCGCGATGAATGCTTCTACTCATCTGCAAGGTGGAGGAAAGGCTGGTATTGGTAATCTGGCAGATGCAGGTGGAGGACATCTTCAAGGACAAGCAGAATCTGGAGAAACCTCTTCTATTAAGGCTAGCGCTCAAGCATCCTCCTCCATTATGATCCCTGGTTGGTTCTTTTTCTACTTGAAAAAGAAGCGCCCAAGGATATGAGCCTCAAGGAAGATGCGGCGCGGTAGCTCTAATTCTAGGGCCGCTGTTGTCGCAGGAGATGCTGCAAAAGATGACATTAACAACGCTGTTGGTCCAACACGACTAGCAAGAAAGGACCAAGATAGCGCTGCTACTGCTGGTCTAACTACAAAGGATGAGAGCACAAGCACAACAACGCTATGCAATTTGGTTGGAGATGCTTCCGCTTCTTCCTTGCTCACAGCTTCTGGAACCACTGGTACCACGCAGGAACTATCAGATGGCATGATCATTGGAGTTCAACAGCAGCTGGATGCTCAAAAGGAGGGCAACGATGTTGTCCTTCACAGTAGTGGCCAACTTGCACTAAATATAGACGGACATAATGTTGAAAGTGATGCAAAAGAGCGTCAAGTTGTGCAACCCCCGAAGCAGGACTCATCTCTCGGTGCGCGCTTCGAAGAGCTCCGTCAGGAACTGAAGGAGCAGCATAACCTTCTGCATTCCCGCATTCTGGTGCCGATTGCGCACATGCCAAGCACGTTGCAAGGACAGGCACTGGAGGACGGGCGGGACGGTGATGTATTCTCCTTCGGACAACTTGGGGGACTACGTCCGACTGGTACCCAAGCTCTGTGCGAGGCAGCTCGAATCAGTGGAAAATGGGCAAAAATGGCTCTACGCATCGGCTTGGACACGCGTCTGCCAAGCGAGAAGTTGACTGCAGGAGCACTGTCGACAACGTCTGATGTTAAGAACATCACTGGCGGCTGTTGATTTGTACACACTTGATTTTATTGATGAAGATGCTAATCATAGAATCACAGTGAAACAAACTACAATATTTATTTCTTTGATAAATACGATGAAGTTGAAGAACACCTGTCATGTATCATCCATCATAGACCACACTATCTTCTCCAGCTGACTGTCTAAGAAGTTTTGTCCAGCTCTGCAGCCACAGAGGCCTTTCGTTCTGGACAGTCGATCGAAGTGGACGCTCGATCACGTTCACGAGAAGGAGGAAAACATCGATTACGTGTGTTCAGCACGCCCACCGTCTATGTGGATCACCCTACGAGTCTTGCGCGGTACTTCTCCTGTGGTCTTTCAGGCATGTATTATATCTAACGAAGAAGAATATGACATGAGCATCAAGCTGAATTGAGCGCCTTCTTCGTTAGGGATGGTGCATTTACATCAACATCATCAAAAAAGCAATTCATTCTAGGTGACGCACCACCGAAGCGAGGGGCGCCCGATGCTTTTCCTATGCAGACGTTTTCATTCCATACGTGGCGCGCACGACACGACTCTGAGGGGAACGAGGTTCCCGACAGCCCAGCAAAAGCTCCAAAGAACAAGCTTCCGGCATTTGTTCGTAAGAATTTTTTATATGTAATGTTGTTGCAATGCGTATGCGACCTTCCATACGAAAGAGCTATCCTGTCTGCTGGACAAGTGAAAATACCTCATATAAAACAAAGGTGACAGTGAGCACACACGCCTGCTGGACAAGTGAAAATACCTCATATATAACGAAGGTGACAGTGGGCACACACGTGGTTTTCACCTCACGTCAGCGAGCAGCGATATCGGTAGTGGTAATGATTTTCATGGTAAGACGAGCAAAGAGAAACGCATCGCTGTTGTCTCAAGCGACTCAGCAAGATCGTGTGCAGATTTGCTATTAAGACATGGAACAGAGAAAACTAAAGAAATGTCAAAAATGATTGTGATGCGCTTATAGAAGATTGAAATGATGCGCCTATATTTATAGATAAGATCAAGATTCCTTTAAGTTTGCAGATCGCCAGCTTCGGTGAAAAACGTTTCGAATAGTAAAACAACCACAAACTTACTACCACCCCCAGACGTCATCTCTAATACGAGGCGAATTTGGCGGAGGATCGAAGACAGATGGAAATCGCACCGCTACACCTGCTGACGCCGACTCAGATGATTCGCAGGATTGCGCGCGTCGTGTTCCACGCGAAACTCCCAAATTTCTTATGCATGGTTGTACTACCTTTTTTTGAAGAAGATCCAAAGTAAGTTGAGTCTACTAACCTAACTTTTCTAGAAAGAAGACACTTTCTTAGGTCTAGTTGTAAAAAAAGGCGAAGATGAGTTAACTTCTAACTTGTTAAAACTAAACTTCTCCTTACTCTCCTGGTTAGGACGGCTCTGCCAATATTATGAGTCCTCATGTTCTACATGCCTTCTTCTAACCTATAAGAAGAATTGGGTGGTCCGTTTTTCCATCACGACTTGCCGTTTGTGCAGAACAAAAACACGTTCGTGCATGTACCAGTGCGGTCTTTGCGTTCTGACGTAGGGGCTTTGGATGATGTGGAGCAATCGGGTAGTGGGGGTACCAGTGGCAGAGATGAGCTGTATCGGGAGTTGGTTTACTATTCTGGTGTATTCGGAGAGCAGCAAACTTTGGCAGAAGCTCGCACTTTTTCATTGTCGGCGGGGACAGGACGAGAGCATGACCTACAAGAGGAGAACTCTGCCGGCGCCTTAGTACAAGAACTACCGGGTCCTGTCTTACCATCCTCGGCAACACTTGGAACGGAAAATGAACCAGAACAAGAAGAGAACAAGCTGTTGCTTCAGAACGATGAGGACACTACGATTAGTAAGGGAAGCCGTGCTCCTCATCAGGTCCGCGTCTTGTTCAAGAAGGCTGCTCGTAGTCGCGGTCAACCGCGCTCACGCTCAATACCTCAAAAGTTACTGCACGCTCTGCGCACTCATCGTGCACAATATGGGTGCGTGAGCAAGAACGAAGACGCGGTTCCCAGGCTTCGGTTCTTCGAAGCACCCTGCAACTTTGCGTATTCTTCATGTTTAGAGTTTAATCCAAATCAGAAACAAAACTGCATGTATTTTTGTTTGTTTGTTTGTTTTGATGCGCTCCGGGCTACGCGTACGATCCCGCCGGATTTCTTTGTGCTCTGTGTGTGTTGTGCTATAGTCGTCATTGCGATCGACTATGGTTACTACTAGAGCAGACTGTTCCTCTCGTCATGAAGTATTGAATTCACCCACAGCAGCACGAGAAGGATAGCCTACTCTTCTCCGAGTGAATGCTTAACTTCTTCCTCAAATATCTAACTTCCCAGGTTTAAGCGTACCTGTGGGGCGACATCGTATCAGCTTGCCCGCATGAGAGTGGCTTTCGGCGTGGGAACCACTGTCGACGTCCAGGCGATCCAAAAGTTGTACCTTCTTGGTGTGGAGCCAAAGTGGGAGCTCTTCTTTCCATTAAGGCTCAATATATTTCCTTTCATGACAGACTTCATTTCTCCGCAATTCATCGAGCAGGTATTGCGGAGAAATGAAGTCAAGAAAGGAAATCATGTGTTAAGCTCTAATTGAGCACATCTTTTGTCCGCCCGACCAGCAAGACGAAGACGGACGCGCCAGAGAGAAGCAGCAGCAAGCCTGGTCCTCGACGCCAGTTCTCAGCAGGGATGCTTGGCTGTCGCTGCCAGTGTCGCCGACTCATTGGCGCCCAATCGACAAAGGCGTTTGGCATGAGCGAGACGCGGTCATGTACCATCGAGAAATGTGCATCCGCAATCGAGTGCTCAGCAATAGAGGCAACAGACTGCGCTATCTACCCTTTACTGAAGACGATCCCATCGCTCCCGGAGAGCAAGGTACTAACAAATCTAGTTTGTAGTTATATTTAAATCGTATAATATTGATACTCTTATTTTTGTTTTTTCTACTTAGGTCTGCTCCACCACAATGTATCTATATTGATACAACACAAAGTTGTGTTACTGAAGACGATCCCATCGCTCCCGCTTCAACAGATCCGGATAGTGGAGGAGACAGCAAGACAAGAAATAGTGCTCAGCTCCAGATCATTTCCGATTTGCGACTGCAGCGGACTTCGCGCGCCGGCGAGCAGCTCCTGGAGAAGATCGAGTATTCAGCCGTGAAATATAACCTGGTGAATATGTCGCTCCTCGATGCGGATAAAGTCGAGAAATCGGGTTTTCCCAGTTGCTGCGCCACGTTGCACCTGAACGAAGCCGAGATGCTCACACGAATGATGCGTTTGTTTGTGCGCAACATGCATGGCATCGATTCGCAACTGGTGCCAGTGTTCGTGGAGGAGTCTTCTTCGCCAAGTTCGCCACGACTAGGCTCTTCGAGTGGAGGAGGCGTTCAATCGTCGCAAGCAGGCAGCAGTGCCCAGCCAAGCTTGTTGACGTCCTTGACCAAGCAGCTCATGCAAGTTCGTTCGTTTCCCTACGAATCTGGAGGAGAAGACGAGAACAAGGGAGTCGAAGTAGAACGAACACGCAGTAAGGGCGCGGTGAATGGTCTAGACTTGCTGCGACACACGTGCATTGTAAGTCGGCGAAACTTGAAGAAAATGGAGAAAAACGCCCTCAATTTCAGTAGAAGTACGACAACTCGAAGTGGATTCACTGCTTCAGCCTTCAAACGACCTACAGAAACTCCAACAGCGTCTTCCTTCATGACGTGTCGTCTCGGCCGCAGTACTCAAGATACTAGCAGGACAGCGACAATTTGTGCTCCAGTAACGACAAGTAATATCAAAACTGGTAATGCATGTTGTACTGGGCGCGGTGCCGCAGATGAGTCATCTTCCCTGTCGCAGCTGACACGGGAAGCCCTTGCGAAGCATGACTCTAACTTCCAAGACGGCGGAGCAGGTGCGGGTCGCCCTGCGGGCCCTTGGACCACGCAGCCTGGCTCGGTCGGCTCAACGATGCCCAACGCCACTTGTTCTGTGTCGGCAACTGAGTCTCCTCTCTACTCCAAGCTCGTTGAACTTTCCGGTGCAGACGGATTGCTTTCGTGTTCGTTGGAAGCCTATAAGATCGCAGAGGATCCAGCTAGCTACAAGGAGTGGGAAACGCTGGAAAAAGCCGGTGTGATGATGGCCGTGGCGCAGATGGAGTGGCAGGCACCGAGTCGCAACTTCTTCGAGGACGCACAGGTGTACTTCTTCAACAAGTACCACAAACATCACGATGAACCGCGGACAACATATTCCAGTAGTAAACGGGAACAACACCAAGCAGCAACATCAAGTAGTTGTAGACGGGGTCGTGTCAAGAACAACCGTGGAGCACGCGGAGGTGGATCTCAAAACGACCACGTCGTCGCAGAGGATCATGGTAACCAAATGTCATTGTCCAGCGCAGGCTACGAAGACAACGTCCTATCGCCAAAAGGCGTGAAGCTGAAAGCCTACTGCGTGAGTGCCGTTTATCCACCAATTTTCGCGTATCGTGGGGATCTTTTGTGCGCCTCCTATGCAGGCATCTTCTCTTTCGGGAGAGTGGTTCAGTGATCATGACAATTGTACGGAACTTAGGTTTTGACTTGATGATAGTACTGGTGGGTAAGAAGCTAACTTCTTACTTTCAGAGCTTTCAGAGTAGTCTATGAGTTAGTACTAGTGGTGCACAACTAATTAAAAACGACACCCCGCGAATGGGTACACTACTGCTACTACTAGAGTTATAGTACTAGAATCAACTAGAGTTTTTATGGAATGAAAGAAGATGTGGACGATGTTGCAGGAGACGTAGATGTTGCAAATTAAGCGCTGGAACTTCTAGTACTTAGGGCTGTTTCTGATGATGTTTTCAGGTAGGAAATCTAAAAAAATCATTCTGTGATCATTATGGAGTTGACCTAGCTTCTGTATTGTGTTGTTGAGTACGACTTAAAAATACACATCGTGCAGGGGTCTCACCCAGCACAGAAAAACTTGAAAATATGCTGTCTTCCTGTAGTTTCCTCTTGTTTAATTACAAAGGGTGCTCGAAATATCGTCTTATTTAATTACAAAGGGTACTAGGAATAAAGGTAAAGACACGTCGACTGGCCGAACGAGAGGTTCACCATTTCCATCCTCTCCTAACCAACATTAGCTATGTTGGACTTCTTTCTCTCGTCTTTGCGCCGTTTGGCGTCCTCGGCTTGTGCTCTGAGAGTCTTGAGAGTGAGAGGTGCTAGTGGTGTCACCTGCTGTTCAGCGTTCCCTTCAAGTTCAAGATCAAGGCTTTCATGGAAACTACGCTTATACATACATCCACCTAGGTTGAAAATAGCCACAGAACAAGAATTCCGCCTAGGTTGTGATCGACAGCATTCATTCGTACTATCTCAAGATGTGACACGACCGCAATGAAGCAAGAAGAAGAACTTTGTACCTTTGTATGCTCCTCGCGACTTCTTCCTATATTGTCGCAACTGAGCAATGAGGGAGCGCAGTAGATGTCCCCCAGTTGTAGTTTCCACAGATGCACCTGGCATGCCTGACTCGAAGATCGAGGTCCCAGACAGGACGAATTAGATTAGACGCTGCTCTTCGGGGTAAGTACTTAATCTCGACGTCAGGCGCCTTGCCTATTTGGAGTTATCGCCCTGTGAAATAATCTGCTTTCATACGAAAATCAGGCTGCCGAGCTATGAAAACTATTAAAGAAGTCGGGGTATGAAAGCTATGGAAGCTCCAACGAGTCATGAACTACCATTCAATTATGTTTTATACATGTAGACGACTTTGACCAATGATCGTGGTGATCGTTGACAAGGCACTTCTTGTCAGCTATGAATGTACGAGGAGCTTTTCTATAAGATTCTTGTATGTAAGAAGTACTAGTACTTTTCTAAATCATGATGGACATGGAGCCGAATCGATGAATAACATCATGGCTTATAAAAATCATGAAGATAATTCAGCTATCCCTGGCCTCCTCGTGCCTCTTTGTTTTTTTCTGTTTTTGTTTCTCTCTTCTCTACCCCTTCCCCCCTGTCTTTACATGATGGATGCTTGAAGATCAGGCACTTTATATTTAGAAGTTCTTGACATCTTCCAGCACTGTTCTCTTCGCTTCAAGGCTTATTAGAACAACAAAATTTCCATGACCGCTTCTTCTACTGAGGACTGAATAACTGATATGATCTGTTCTAAAATGTTTTACATATGTTGTTGATTGTTCTATGTTGAAGATCCCATCTTTAGCCATCCCCTTAGAGAATGGGTCAGAAAGCACTTCAATCTGCCTTAAGATCAAAACTAAAAACTGAAAACTAAGAATATTTTTCGACAGCCTATCAACATGAACTACCAGCACAAGAACAACAAGCTGTGTTATCATTTATCATCCGATCGCATCATGCATGAGCTATCCAGAAAAATGGTACCGCCCCTTCTACATTCGAACTTCTACGGCCTTCATCACCTATAGGCTAAGGAGAAGGCGGAATCCATTCGCTCATCAAAGTACAACGATTACGGATGCTTCTAAAATACCACGACTGAGTGCAACCGCAGTCAATGACGTCCTTCTCGTATCATTTATCAAATTCGAAGTGTAGTCAGGACCACGATGATGGTGTACTTCTAAGAATAATCACAGGTTGTTGAGACTAATGGGGTGTGCTACTAGAAATACGTTGATCTTCAATGTAGATGCTGTTGCGTGACGAGAGAATAGTCGTGCCTGGTTGTACCACCTCCGTTAATGTTTGTTGATTATGATAATACAGGGTGCCTGTGGGGCTCGTTGTGAAGGATCCATAACCTAACCTAACCGAATCAAAATGTTGGGTTTTGATTTTTTTCCTCAGTTTTGAATGATTTTCACGCAACGGACTAAACGCGAGTTATCTTCAAAAGATCACTTGGAATAATGAATCCTGGGATCTCCTAGACATTTCTTTGCTTCTCTCTTTCTATGAAGGAATTGCAAGTCTACATGTCAGTCCTCTCAGGCAAAAAGTCAAGAGATCCCCAATGTGCTTTGTGACTCCGAAGAATGAGAAATGAATGTGAAGCTGAAGATTGATAGACGAAGAACAAGATGAAGATCTTCATGGTCATTAAATGAGAACCAACATTTTTTGATTCACAGAACCAGAAGCTCCTTTGTCATGAATGAACTAAAAAAAGTGTAGTCTACGCACTGTTAAGAGTTTTTTGTTCACGATACGTCCTGCGCAACCGCAACATTAATAACAGGACAGAGCTACGGCCACGATTGCATTTTTTTTTCTCAACCCATGAACCTAGAAGTCGATAATTGCTAGGAGTTTCTTGTTCTTCGACATAAAGATTTATTTAGATCATTTTGGTTCTTAAGAGGACTTGCAAGAAATTTATTACATACGTCGCTCTCTCGCTGCTTCCGTACTAGTATATCTACCCAGGAACAAAAAAAAATTTCTACTTGTTGTTTAGTTCTTTCACCTCTGTCTTACAAAAAAAATGCCGGAAGGAGGTGGTAGCCACAAGCTCGGCGATGCCGGTGCTCGGGATATTAGGGCAGCCAACATCTTAGCCGCAACCGCAGTCGCAGACACTGTGCGAACGAGTTTGGGACCTAGAGGTAGCTATCTATACTACAGATCGAGTAGTATTAGAAGCAGCAACTACACTGAGTGGAAAAACAAATCGAATGAATGAACGGATCGATAGTGCAAACGTTATTTCTAGTACAACTTTGATCTCAAATACAAGTACAAAAATACAACAACGTTTCCCAAGACACTCTCCATCAAACACAACGACACAGGTATGGATAAGATGATCGAGGATCCACGTGGCGAAGTTATGATTACAAACGACGGCGCAACCATCCTGAAGGAATTGTATTACCCTCTTTAAATTTTTTGTCTTTCTGCTGGCTTAGCAGTAGTTGCGTTACTTGTTGCATCACATCCTTGTCATTGCTAGTACTAGAAGTTAGCACGACATTAATGAAACTTACGACGTGGTTGCCCCTCCCAGACTGAAGTCAATTTGATGACCAATTATCAACTGCAGGCGTGTGTCCCATCCTTGTGCGAAGATGTTGGTCGACTTATCGCGATCGCAAGATATTGAAGCAGGAGATGGCACAACCAGTGTTGTTGTGACAGCCGGAGCCCTCTTAAATGCGGCAGAGCAATTGTTGGGAAAAGGTAACTTGCTAGTAGTCGGTTATCCCTACTATTCATACTACAAGTACAACAACAAGCAAATGCGAGAAATTTCAAATTAATACATCATCCTTTTTTACGATGATACCAACAAAGAGAGTAAATTACAACTAATCCTACACATACAACGAGTGGAGCTGGAGGTTTTTTGTACAACTACACACAATTTTTATGCTCACTCACTCCCACAACACCACATCTGACAAAAGGCATCCACCCCCAGACGATTACGGAGTCGTTTTTGAAGGCAGAGAACAAGGCAGAGGAAATTTTACAGGACATGTCTATTCCAGTCTCATTAGGCGACCGCGACGCATTGATTCGGAATGCCAGTACCTCCCTTAACTCCAAAGTCGTTGCTCAGAGCGCAGATGTCTTGGCACCAATCGCAGTGGATGCGGTAGTTTTATTTTGGGTTACTCGCTAGATGAGTTTTGTTTGTTAGGAACTATTTTCATCTGGACGTGTTGTCAAATAAAGTAGACAAAAAATTGATAAACATTTCTTTCATGCACTACACCTTTGCTCTCCAACACCATTCACCAGGACTCTTTACCCCACGCCGCTGTCTCCCTTCACGCTCCTTCCTCCCCCTATCTCACCTATAGGTTTTAAAGCTAGTTGATGGCGACGCGACAGTTGATAACGTCGACTTGAATGACGTGAGGATAGCCCAAAAAATCGGAGGAACCATGGACGATACTGAGTTAGTGGACGGCTTAGTCCTCACCCAACAAGTAGCACGAAATGCAGGAGGCCCGACACGCATTACCAATGCGAAGATTGGTATTCCTTGATTGTTGTATTTTCAGAATAATGTAGATATGGGACTACATGGTAGTATCGACTAAAATAAGTTTGTCTTTCATAGGGTCTATGGTAAGTAGCAAACTGAACATTGATCTGCGATCCACCATAAGCTTTTTATGATGGGGCCTCTCCTATCCACTGTCAACAGGTTTGATCCAATTTTGCCTGTCGCCTCCGAAGACGGATATGGAGAGCAATGTTACTGTCAAGGATTACAACCAAATGGACCGCATCCTCCGTGAGGAGCGTATGCACATTGCGAAAATGGTCAAGAAAATCGCACAGACCGGTTGCAACGTTTTACTCATACAGTTAAGGCTCGGATTATAGTTCATTTCCACAACAAGTCATGTCTCACGACTCTTTTGAAAGAGTGAGAGGAAGGAAGACTGAAGTAGCCGAAGTGGAACACCCTGCTGTAATTAAAGTCTTTTATACCCCGCGAATGGGTACACTACTACTACTAATAAGAAGGCATGAGTGAGAAACTGAAGAAGCATATTTTTGAGCTCGCGAGTTAGTTGTCTTCCGGATGTCGAGTATAGCTTCTAATACAAAAGTCTATCCTTCGCGATGCAGTGACGGATTTGAGTTTAGATTTCTGCGCGAAGATGAAAATTATGGTCGTAAGAGACATCGAACGCGAAGATATCGACTTTATCTCGCGTATCCTGGGCTGCGAACCGGTGGCGGACTTGGAAAACTTCACAGCAGACAAATTGGGCACAGCAGGATTAGTCTATGACGACAACCTAGGTACTATAACCTCATAGTTTTAGTTTATAATAACGATGAAGATGAAGATCAAGATTTGCATTTTTTTAGGGGCTGCAGAGGTTCCGTAAGTAGGGGGATATCTTTCCCTTTTGTTCCAAGATGACAACACAACTTTTCTACTCCTGCTACCCCATAATCAATTCGAAAACAAGGTACCTCCGGCACTATGGGCGTGACTCGCTTTGCGGAACTGAAGGCGGCAGAGAAGAAATGCGTCTCTATTCTCGTGCGAGGTTCAAATATGATGTTGTTGGCTGAGACGGAGAGGTCTTTGCATGATGCACTCTGCGTGGTGCGGTCTTTGGTGAAAAAGAAGGCGCTTATTCCAGGAGGCGCAGCACCAGAAATGGAAATGTCCACAAAACTCAAGAAATGGGCGAGGACGGTACTTCTACTGGGGGTTGCTCTTTACAGCAGAAATAGTGTAGCTAGTGACCTGATTTTATTCGAAAGACCGTACTTCTTGGTTGGTAGAAAACAGTACTTCATTCTTGTTATGTATTTGCAGTGACTGATGGAAGAACATCTATGCTGTACGAACAAACTCAAAAAAATGGTTCTCATCGTCTTCTTTGTCTCAACAAAATGAAAAACAATACTCTCATAGATTGGCGGCGTCGAAGCCATTTGCGTGGAATATTTCGCTGAAGCGTTAGAGCGCATCCCTTACACTCTCGCTGAGAACGCAGGACTCAACCCCATTGATATCGTGACCAAGCTGCGCAGTGCCCATGCGGTCGACAACCAGAAGTATGCTGGAATCAATGTGAAGAAGGCTTGCATCTCCGACATGAATAAGGAGAACGTGGTGCAGCCGCTGTTGGTGTCTGTGTCGATTATCAAGATGGCCACAGAAACGGTGCGATTGATCCTCAAAATCGATGACATCGTCATGACACGATAAGCGGATGATTTCGAATATCGATTTTGACACGTTCATGACACTACTCGGATGCAGCTGCTTTCGAGGGCGATTGAAGATGCCAGTAGTTCAGTAGCGTCTCGAAGGATGAAAATCATCGAGGTGCCGCCTTGGTGATTCTTTCCCCTGCTTTGGCTTGGGGAAAAGCTGCGATGCTGGTGTCTGATTTCGAAGTCAGACGGGTCTGAGTTTCAAAGGGACGTGACGATGATCACAGCACGTGCTTGCTTCTCTCTAGAGAAGATGTAGCTCACTTTATTTTACGACACGACAAAGTAGATTGCAGTCATGATTTCTTACGAATCCGTATAGAGGTTCCTTCAAATTCAAAGAGTTCTAGTGTAAGTATCCCCCCTAATCATCATGTATTGACCCCCAGCACACGACACACCTGCTTGATATTAATCCCGTTGTTGCACTACCCACTGTTCAGAGACTATTCTACTGTTGTTGAAATTGAGTTCTACTGAGTCCTTAATGTTCTTTGTATTTACGATATATGTCTATTAACAACTGAGAAGCTGGAAAGTGTTAGTGTTACCAAGCGAAATCTATTCAACGGAAACCATCTTTCAACGTTGTCATTTGTTGATACAGAGAAGTTGAAGGAGAATGAAAAAAGAATTCACTACACAAGTGATCTTCTATTGGATCATGCCTGTTTTGTTCGTCTGTCTTCGGGGGTTCTATCGCCAGACAGACTTGGGAAAAGAGGGAAATCCACGAGAGCAGTCGAGTGGTAGAAAGGGCTGTAGTGGAACTAGGGCACATATTCTAGGTCGACCTGGACGAGACAAATGCTGTGTAGGATCATTGAAATTGGCTGGAAAAATAACTACTACACATCATTTATTACACATTCTTTTAAAAGAATCAATAAAAAGGAAATACGAACTACCCCATCTTGCACTATTCAATACTGTTCGTCGATACAACCATTGAGGAACAATAGGTGCGATTAAGGTGTACTCTCAGAGTTACTAACTCAGTTATAACCACGTACTTATCAGTAGTAGAAGCTCTACCTCTACTAGCTAGGTTGTTGTAAAAATGGCTCAGCAAGAGGAAATCGTCGCGGAAGTGCCGGCTGCCGAAGCACCGGCTGTCGAAGTCGAAGAAGGTTTTTTCTTTCAATTATTTACCATATCCAATTATTATATCCCGATAACCAGACTATTGAATACAACTAGCTATGTATCAGCATCAAGATGAATGTTCTTCTTAAATCACGATTGGGTACACTACTACTACTACTACCCCCATTAAGGATCAAGACGAATACCACTGACTGTTCTACCTCCTACCAGTAAGTATCATCTATGTTGTTCATGTTCTTGTATCTTCATCTACCCCAGCCCCAGCAGCGGCAGCACCAGAGGTCGTCGAGGAAACTCCGGCTACAGGATTTCAGATGCAGCCACTTTTTGCGGGACAGCTCCAACCGCTTCCGGCAACCTTTGGATTGCAAATGCCCACTATTGGTAGTACAGTTTATGACGATGATGATCAAAGTAAGGTAAAGCAAGGTAGGAAATTTGATATTTAACTTTAGAATGAATTACTTCTTAGATCGTTACTTAGGTAGAGTCTCTCATCTCATCATCCATGATCAACTTTGTTTTCATCGCGTGATTCCAATCCGCCAGGTCTGTCGCAGCCGTACCAATTTCAAACGCAGGCCTCTCAGTTTTTGCAAGAACCAGGGACACAAACAGCAAGTACTTTGTCACTCTCGCTTCGTAAATGCGCCTATTGAGATTCAAAGCATAAGAACTCAGTTGTAGAACCACACAAACACAAAGAGGACCGACATCATATTAAAGCAACTCTGCACACAACATGATTACACATTACTCCATACGAGGCAAATTTATCCATTCACTCATGCAACAGGCCTCGAAAACACGGGATTCGTTTTTTTTCCGGAATTTGATCCCTCTATCTTGGCGGCTGCTGCTAGTCCAGGAAATGGTTCTACGGTAGAGCTAAACTACACCACTCGCGACGCTTCGCTCACGAAGTCCAAGAAGAAAGGGCAAAAAAGTTGCCTCTGCTTCTAAATTTTCCAGTAGCTAGGTGCTCCACCACTAATATGGATGGTGAAAGAATGGTTGTGATCTCCTTTCTCTCAACGAACTTGTAGCTATGAATGTATGCTAAATAGAAAGAGATTAGCTTTCTCGTTCTCGACACTGGTGAGCTTTCCTAGCCTATTAGGTATTGATTTGTCTACTTCTTATTCTTTCGAAAAGAGCAAAAAAATTACAAAAAAAGTTTATGATACTTCTATCTGAGACCTAATTAATATAGCAAATTTTTCCTTGTTTCGACAACCGGCTCACAGACGGTATGGCAAGCCCTTGTCCATACCTTATTTTCCCTGGTGTCGACGTCGAGCCAAGGGAAACTTTACTAACACTACTTTTTTTTTGGTCTATTCTTATTGTACAGTGCTAAATAGAAGAAGATAGCCGTCGATGCCATCTACTGCAGTTTCATCTAACCACAACATAAATAGAGGTAGCCTTCTAGGCTTAGACATAGTTGTATCTAAAGAAGAGATGCAGATCTCTTTGCGCTAACGATGATGAACCATGACAATCTAATAAGAAACATGTAGCTAGAAATGGGTGGGTGCATACCTGTAGTCACCTCCGCTCGCCAGATACTAGCAGCTTATCATGCCAATCGGAAGCTCAACAGGCTTCGTACATGAAATTTGAAACGAATTTTGCACCACTTCTGTTGATTGGCCATCTACATAAACTTTTAAGATTCTTCATCTCATTTGGATAGAACTCAAACAACACGCGTACGACTAACATAAAACGCAGCATCTTAAAACCTTAAATGTTGAACCTGAAGGCATCAACTGTGGTCTCGAAAAGAGATTTTTAGTGGAACAAAGGTTTTCCAAAAGCATTGTATGTTCTTGGAATCCAACACGCTGACGAAGATCCTAGTCAGCTAAGTAGGTAAAAACACTAGGCATGCGGTTGCGGTCCTCGCGTGCAGCTCAAGCACAGCTCGGCCTAGTAAAAAAGTAGACTCTCTTTCGGCGTTTTCATAGTCGTGAACGCTCTCCTTCTCGAGGCGAGCCAATCCCTACCCTACCCTACCCTACCCTACCCTACCCTACCCTACCCTACTAGTTTGATGAACAAGTCGCGCTCCGATCATATGTCTGAAAAGGGTTCCCTTTATGATTACAAGCTTTCACGGAGGGTACCCCAGAGGGGGGACCCTCCTCCTCAGCTTGTCCAAACTATAAAGAGGGCAGACATTTTATCACAACTAGGACAAAACACGTCTCTCCTCTCAGTGGTAGCAAACTGAAGACCTTGCGGGTTTATTCTCGCCGTATGGTATGCCAAGAGTGTCCACTTTCTAAATTAGTGGGCATCTCTCTCAGAAATTCGCTTCTCTTCATTCTGCTCGGGTCTTCGCAATCCTTTCCGGAACAAAGCAAGAAAGGGCTCGCCACGGAATTCAAATCCAGGCTCCTCGCTGATCTCTCAAAACCGTCCTGCCCTCTCTCTTCGCCCCGCCTCTAGGTTCATTAAAAGTTCCCAAGAGTATCGCGCTCGTCATGCAGATAAGAGAAGCACTCAACCTCTCGCGACATCTCTCTTCACTCGTCTTCAGGAGAGTTTTCTTTTGCTGTGGTTGTTTTGTTCTCTTCTCCCATTCGGTTGGACTCTTTTGAACTCTCAGCCCTCGCCGTTGTTTTCTTTTGATTTTCCCAGGCAGTTCTCTGTCTTAAGTTTCATAGCTTCTTCCACAGTTTTCTCTGTTCGTTCACATCTACGGCGCCCACTTGATACTGCTGAGCTCTATTGTGTCGCCTCTCTATTGTGTTTGGGTTATATTTATAGCCCCTTCGTCTCCTTCTTTGTCTATCTCTTTCACTGTTGTTTCCGGTTTAGCATGTTAGTATCAAAGATGGGCGTCTCCCGTTTTCAACCTCGAAGGGGCGCCCGTTTGGGGGTAGTTTTTCAGAAAAAGGTCGACGCGCGGACACCTCCGAAGCAAATGAAGGACGAAGAAGCAGCAGCATGGGCGCGCGTCTTCTTCTGGTCATGCTTTCAAGAACAGGCGAAGGCATGCGGGGAAAGTAGTGACACTAACAACAGAGACAAAAAAGAAAGCGAAGGCGCGCGGGATGAAGTTGCTCAACCTGGCAAAACAACACAGCAAAAAGATAGAGAAGTCACCGAAAGAGGCGCGGCTTACTATCTTCGTAAACTTCGCTGATGTGGTCGGAGAGATATCCTCGACCATGGGCGCAGCCCTCCAAGTTTTTGGCAGCAGATTGAACGTCCTTGACATAATAAGGAGGACGTGGCCCGGCTCCAGTGTGTTATCACTGTGCGAGATGTCTAAGTACGCGGTTGGAGCTTTCTGACGAATTAGCAGGGCACGCGACGCAGCAACTTCGTGCACTTTTGTGCAAGTGTCGCCTCCGGCAGCGGGTGCAGCTCTCCCCTCTTCTTTCACAGACTGCGGGCGCCTCGTTCGTCGCATTCTGTGCCAAAAGAGTAGAAGACACACGAAAGAAGTCTGGCCTTCGACTTCCAACTCGTCGCAATCTCCTTCAGGAGTTTTTGCAAACTTCTGGCGGCACTTGGGACGTTGTCTCTACGCCGAACTTCGCACCGCAGAGCCAACTCCGAGACACTGTGAACGCGCAGAAGTGGACGGTCGACAATGTTAGGCGCCTAGCGTTTGCGCAGCTGATTCCGCAGGCTCTCTTGACGAAGCTCATCAAGCACGCAAGGGGCCGGCGGATAGCGTTAGAAATGGTCGACGACATGCGTGCACTGCGGGGCATATCCTACATCACTGCGAAGAACTGGGCCCGTGCTCTTTGTTTAATTATGGGCGCTAGAGTTTTGCGACGGTTACACGCCGACGGGCTCAGGCTCGCGCGCCGCTCTTTGTCGAATTTTTGGGCTTCCTGAGTCCTTAGGGCCTGGCACTTCGGTGAACCTCTCCGCACTTTTCTCCAAGTTATACCAGATTGCGCGCGTTTTAGTGATACAACACGCGCGGCGACAGATAAAAGGAAGCAAAGCGGTGGACAGTGAAAAAAGGCGCGGCCGGTAAAGTGCCAAGGCTCCTGAGTGTTCCGGGGAGTCCATTGGCCTGGCTCCTTGGTCGGATGGCTTTGCAGCACACATTTCGCGAGCTTACCCGTATCGAACGCGCGGCAAAAAACGGGAGGACACTGGTCGGGTCTTATCTTCGAGGCGGTCGCTTGCGGTGTGCAGAGCGGCGCGCGCAGTGCTCGGAAGGAGGGGCGGCGCCGACCTCCGCGATTTCGGTGGGCCATGATGAGGAAGCAGAGAGCGACGAGGCTGCTGCGCTTTTATTTCCACGCAGAGACGTTCTCGAGGCAGAGAGGGAGGAAGACTGGCCGCGCGCAATTCTCGCCCTTTGTGATAGGCTCCTCATTCGCTTTCGCTGGCAATTGTGTGCCTGCAGCTATCTACTAAGTAGCTGAGGAGCTCATCTCCAAGGCGCGCCGCGTCTGTCTTGTGTGTTGTGATAGTGTCTAAATTAGCAAAAAAAAACTTTTTTTGGAGGTTTTGGCACAAACGAGCAAAGGAAGTAAAAGCGTGGCAGCATTCGTTTGCTTAGGTAGAAAAATGGAAGAAGTGCCCGAATAAATTTGGGGGGAATGCAGTCGCTGGGGCTCTCTGCGCTGATTAGTTCCCATTCCGTCAAAAGGGAAAGGCGAGTCTTTGGAACTAAGTTACACGCCCAAGCGCTGCCTGCTCTCCAATTATACTGAAAGAAACCGCCCGAAGCTTGGCGCCGTTGGCGTTTGCTTTGAAAGACTGGCAAAATTTTGCTTCTAGTTCTTCGCACGATCTTGGTAGGGCAGTCGGTTCCGTTCGATTGTTGTCCCCCTATTTTCTTAGGCGTGGCGTGTATCGTCTGCCTCTGTGGTGTTCATTCTATTCCATTGCAGCGCGGCAACCTTCGGGAGCTTCCTGGCAATAATAGGCCTGGAGGCGGGGCATGATAATGAGGAAGACAGGCAGGAGGGCTCCTCTGTCTATCCCGAACCGCCTCGAAATGAGCCCGCCCTTCAAAAATGCGCGGATTTTTTTTCATTTTTTAGCTTGCACTCACAAGCACAAGCCCACCAAAACAAGAACCCCAAAAAGAGTCAGAAACCCAACTCCCGCGGGCCGGTCAGCCCTCTCAAGTCAACTCCTGCGAGCCCCCGCCCTTTCCTAACCAGGTGCAACACATCCCACCCTGCTCAGATACGACAGAGGACCAACCCACAACACCAGAGAACCGACCGCCGCACCTCACCCGCCGAACCCTCCTGGGCTTCAAACTGACAAGAAAAAGCGTAAAAACTTCTGCCCTTTTTTCTACTAAAGAAAAAAACGCAAGACTTTTCCGAAGAAATTTTTTCATGAAAAAAAAGCCAAAAAAACGCGCGACATTTTGGCCAAAAAACTGCAAAAAGCCAAAAACTTTCAAAAGCCTGGAAATCCTTACGCATAGCCTACGGAACCCACAGACAGAAAGACCCGACATTTTTGGGCAAGTTTTATATTTTGGAAAACGCAGCAGCAAACCCCGGGAGCGACTCGAGCAAGAGCAAGCAAGCCAGACAAGGCTACCCTCCCCAACGCCTCCAAGACCCCTGCCCCGCACACACGCCAGACACAAGACCAAGAGCTGGCGCGAACTCCTTCCCAAGCAACCTACTCCAACCACGAGCCCGCCACCAATCAGCGGGAACTAATAAAAAACCCTCTGGGCCTCCCCTGTGCCGTTTTCAAAAATAAAACCCAACATTTTCGGCGGCGTTTTCTGCTTCGAAGCGGTTCAGCGTAGACCTCTGGTGTATAATCCATCCTCGGCGAGTCCGGTTAAATTAATCAGAACAGCGGGCGCCGATCTCGGTGAGAGTGAAGAAGAGGCAAAAGATAGAAGGGCGAAAGGCGTCCACTTGCGTCCCTTTTATCTCGCTACCACTGCTTCGCGCTTCTGGGCACTGTCGGTCGATTTTCTTACTATCAGCGGAGGGATGGCGCCTCAGATATTGCTTCGATTTTTTAACAGGGTAAGTTAACAAGTGCGGGCGGTATTGTGTTATCTTGGTGATGCATGAAACAGAGCCCCACTGCATGGCGCTCATGGTGGTGCTATCTGTGTTAGCTAGAAGATTTCGGGCAGCAGAGTGCTCGCCACGGAGTTAAGTGATGCAAGCGATGACGTTGCGGCTATGTTTCTCCACAAGGGTAGTGGCGTTCTTCTGAGAGATTCCCCCGAGTGTTTCGCGCCTTTCCCTATCTCTGATTTCTCGCGTGGTAGATGCGGCTGAGCTCCTTTGGGGTTGTTCGAGTGTTCACGCTATTGCTTCTGGCCTTTGTAAGTGCAGCGAACTGGGCTCCGCGTGGCTTTCTGTCTATCGTAGCTCTGGCAATATTTCAGAACTCGGGCGCATTCTTGCCGCCATTTTGCACGGTTTTGGAACTGTGTGCCTCGGTTTTCTTATCGTTGTCCCCTGTGTTTTCTTCACAAGTTGAAGGAAAGGCATAGAGCTGCACACACTGAAGAACATTGACCGCGAAGCGCGCAGGCGTTTACATTTCTAACCGAACAAGGGCAATGGCGTAAGCCTTCAGGAATTCCATGCGTGGCAATCATGGCAATCATCGCGCGCGGCTGATCTGTGTGCGACGGTATGCGTTTCGCCTCTGTGTCTTGTAAGTAAAGCCGTTTTTTTCTCTTATGTTGTTCGACCCCTTACAACTAACTAGCGGCGCTCTGCGTCGCAAGCTGTTCCCTGTGAGATCTCAAGTCGGTCCATCACCATCACAGAAGAGAGCGGGAGGGCAGCTGGCGCGCCAGTAGTGCCCGCCAATCGATCAGACTGCGAGTCGCTTGAAAGCGTGCCGCGTCTCTTTTAAATAAATGGAAAGGCTAGGCGCCTCTTGCTTAGTTGTTGAAGACCTGGAACGCGTCGGCGGCTCTTTTGTTGAGGAAACATCTTCAACGGCCGAGACTGAGAGCTTTTTGGC